AAAGAAGACACCTTTCAACAAATTCAAGGGCTGCCGCCCTGTGCCGCCGGCCCCTGCTTGCTGACAGTGCACGTTGTTATGACAATTATGACAATTAACGGCACACTTAAAGCATATATGAAAAAGAAGAGCAGCATGACAAGGATGATGTTTTTGATGATGCATTGTTTTACCCAACATAAGGGATGCTGATAATTATTACCATGCACTCGCCATATCGCCAGCAGTTATGATGATAATTGTTGCTTTTCATTTTTAGCATCACCAGCAGTTGTTCTGATAATTATGACGACGCATTCCCTGCATCTCAAACAAGCCACTGCGGGATAAATTCGCATGACAATAAGCACCTTGTTGAATTTTACAAGAAGTGCCCCGGGTGCGTGAAAACTCGGGCAGCACCACCATGTTGGGGGCCGTTTTTTTTCTTCTCAAGACTTCGATGTGTTGCTGTGGATGCGAAGTGTGCAGCAGATATCATGACAATCATCACAACGCATCCTCTGCACTTCCAGTCGGGTCTAACGGCACACTTGAAACGTAAATGAAAAAGAAGAGCGCCACGGTTTTGATGATGAACATAATTTCATCATCATGTTCATCATCATCATCATCATCATCATCATCATTTTCATCATCATGTTCCTCATCATGTTCATCATCATCATCATCAGCCTGATGATAATCAGCACCACGCATCCTCAGCATCATCAGCAGCAGTTATGGTGATGATGATGAACATGATGATGAGAATGATGATGATGATAAAATAATAATGATAATGTTGATGAACATGATGATGATGATGAACACCACCTTCTTCATTCATGTTCATCATCATCACCACCATCATCATCATCATCATCATCATCATTTTCATCATCAATTTCAGTCACTACGCATCCTCAGCATCACCAGCTGTTAACGTTCTCACTATGCCAATTATCATGACAATCATGACGACGCATCTTTTGCATTTCCAGTCGGGTCTAACGGGACACTTGAAACTTGTAGGAAAAAGAAGAGCCACGGTTTTGATGAACATGATAAGGAACATGATCATGCCACCCTCATCATTTTCATCATCACATCATCATCATGTTCATCATGTTCATCATCATCATCATTTTCATCCTCATGTTCCTCATCATGTTCATCATCATCATCATCATCGTCAGCAGCAGTTATCATGACAATAATGACAACGCATCCTCTGCATTTCCAGTTGGGTCTAACGGCACACTTGGAACGTAGATGAAAAAGAAGAGCGCCACGAACATGGTGAGATGATGCAAATGATGATGATGATGATGATGATGATGATGAAAATGATGATGATGAACATGAACATGCACATGAACATGATGATGATGAACACCATCATCACTTTCATCATCATCTTCATGATGATTTATTTTCATCATCATGTTCATCATCATCATCATCCTCATCATTTTCATCATCATGTTCCTCATTAAGTTCGTCATCATCATCATCATCATCATCCTGTTGATAATCATCACTACGCATCCTCAGCATCGCCAGCAGTCAACAGTCATCACTACGCATCCCCAGCATCAGCAGCAATTATCATGACAATCATGACAACACATCCTCTGCATTTCCAGTCGGGCCTAACGGCACACTTGAAACGTATGAAAAAGAAGAGCGCACGGTTTTGATGATGAACATAATTGTTCATCATCATCATCATCATCATCATCATCAATCATTTTCATCATCATGTTCCTCATCATGTTCCTCATCATGTTCATCATCATCATCATCAGCCTGATGATAATCAGCACCACGCATCCTCAGCATCATCAGCAGCAGTTATCATGACAATCAAGACAACGCATCCTCCGCATTTCCAGTCGGGCCTAACAGCACACTTGAAACCCAAATATGGTGAGGAACATGATGATGATGATGATGATGATGATGATGATGATGAACATGATGATGAACATGATGATGATGATGATGATGATGATGATGATGATGATGATGAACATGATGATGATGATGAAGATGGTGATGATGATGAACATGATGATGAGAATGATGATGATGAGAATGATGATGATGAGATGATAATGCTGATGTTGATGATGATGAACACCACCTTCTTCATTCATGTTCATCATCATCACCATCATCATCATTTTCATCATCATGTTCATCATCATCATCATCATCATTTTCATCATCAATTTCAGCATCAATGTTCCTCATCATCATCCTGATGATGATCATCACTACGCATCCTCAGCATCACCAGCAGCATGCCAATTATCCTGACAATCATGACGACGCATCTTCTGCATTTCCAGTCGGGTCCAACGGGACACTTGAAACTTATAGGAAAAAGAAGAGCCACGGTTTTGATGATGAACATGATAAGGAACATGATCATGCCACCCTCATTCACATCATCATCATGTTCATCATCATTTTCATCCTCATGTTCCTCATCATGTTCATCATCATCATCATCATCGTCAGCAGCAGTTCCAGTTGAGTCTAACGGCACACTTGGAACGTATATGAAAAAGAAGAGCGAGAACATGGTGACGTGATGATGCAAATGATGATGAAAAATGATGATGATGAACATGAACATGCACATGAACACCATCATCAGCAGCAATTATCATGCATCCTCGTTCATCATCATCATCAGCCTGATGATAATCAGCACCACGCATCCTCAGCATCATCAGCAGCAGTTATTGACAATCAAGACAACGCATCCTCCGCATTTCCAGTCGGGCCTAACAGCACACTTGAAACGTATATGAAAAAGATGAACATGATGATGATGATGAGATGATAATGATGCACCTTCATCATCATCACCATCATCATCATTTTCATCATCATGTTCATCATCATCATCATCATCATCATCATCATTTTCATCATCAATTTCAGCATCAATGTTCCTCATCATCATCATCCTGATGATGATCATCACTACGCATCCTCAGCATCACCAGCAGTTAACGTTCTCACTATGCCAATTATCATGACAATCATGACGACGCATCTTCTGCATTTCCAGTCGGGTCTAACGGGACACTTGAAACTTATAGGAAAAAGAAGAGCCACGGTTTTGATGATGAACATGAAAAGGAACATGATCATGCCACCCTCATCATTTTCATCATCACACCATCATCATGTTCATCATCATGTTCATCATCATCATCATTTTCATCCTCATGTTCCTCATCATCATCATCATCGTCAGCAGCAGTTATCATGACAATCATGACAACGCATCCTCTGCATTTCCAGTTGGGTCTAACGGCACACTTGGAACGTATATGAACATGGTGACGTGATGATGCAAATGATGATGATGATGATGATGAAAATGATGATGATGAACATGAACATGCACATGAACATGATGATGATGAACACCATCATCACTTTCATCATCATCTTCATGATGATTTATTTTCATCATCATCATGTTCCTCATTAAGTTCGTCATCATCATCATCATCATCATCCTGATGATAATCATCACTACGCATCCTCAGCATCGCCAGCAGTCAACAGTCATCACTACGCATCCCCAGCATCAGCAGCAATTATCATGACAATCATGACAACACATCCTCTGCATTTCCAGTCGGGTCCAACGGCACACTTGAAACGTATGAAAAAGAAGAGCGCAACGGTAATGATGATGATCCGGATGATGTGAAGTGATGATAATCATCACTTAGACAAGGACAAAGACAAACCCTTCCCCATGCGCCTTCCCTTCGGAGAAAGGGGTCGGCGGATTAAGGGATAATTCCTTACCCGCCTGTCGTGGTTTGCCTGGCCTGCCCAAGTGAGGTGCTAGAGAAGATCGCCGGCCTGCCACGCAGTCGATCCCTGCCCATTTGGGCTTGCTCTCTGGTCGCTTTGTCCCTTTTCGCCCTGGCCGCCTCGAAGCGCCGGGCGCGCCGTGCATGAGAGATGTTTAAGCTGATTCGCGGAGGTCCCTTGACCATTTCGCTCTTCAAGGACCCCCAGTCAGACTCCATGTTAGTGGGAGGTCAAAATGAGGAATCGGCTCTTCCGAGGGGCTTTTCGGTTTCATGTCGGTTTTCGTTCAAGGTGACCCAAAGGGGGTCCCCAGTTTTGACACATGCGCCGCGAATGCGGCGGATTTTCCGAAGCAAGGGCAGCTTGCTGACGCAAAAGGGCTGCTTGCCATCGTCGTGGAAACCGCAAAACGGCTAGCTCTTGGCAAGAGCTGTCGACCACACAGAGTCACGAAAGCCAGTTCGACAAGAAATGGAGTTGAGCAGCCTTGGTCAACTGTAGCCTTGAGGACACCACACATCAGCGACACTACCACCCCTCCCGCCCCCTCCCTCAACTGGCATTTTAAGCATAGGGCCAAGCAAGGCAAGATATGGCATCATGAACAACGAAAAGCCTCCCATGTTTCCCTTTTGGTGGTTTCAAACATGCTCACCTGGATTGGCCCGTTGATGAAATGCAGAACCCGGACCCTCCGATGGAGATCCCTGTTGCGTTAAGAGAGCCCCCATTTTACGTGACCCAACACAACTCGGGAGCCGGAGGGCCGCACTTTTTTGCGAATGTGGATGAAAGAATGTGGGGTAGTTTGTTTGGTTTCGTTTCCCTTCAAACCCACCCAGTTCAGTAGCGCCCATTTTTCACTTGTTTCGTGGAGTCCTACCAGAAGAACGCAGATGTTTGGGTTTAACCAAATGTTGAGACCACGTGCCGCCAAGTGTTCCCTCACATACACACAGGTGGTGTGGTTTGCCTTCAAAGCCCGGGTATGGTTTCCCCACTAAGTCTGTACTGCCTTGGCTCAAAGGCAAACCAAAAGGAACACCCCTCTTGGGGTCCAAATCCCTATTTTGACACATGGGGGGTCTTCTTTAAAGTCACCCCCCCGAAGGGAAACCCCCAGGAAACCATTTTGAGACGCCCCAAAACCCATCGACTCCCGAGTCGAGGTGTGGCCCACCGGGGAGTGCGTGGACGGCGCCACGGTGCTGGCCCGGGGGCCCGAAACCGGAGCCGGAGCCGTTTTTCCACCAGCCGGTTTGTCCGACCTCCTTTTGGCCTTTTGGTTTGGGGGTGCAAGAAATAGGTGGGTCAAAAAGACAGGGTGGAAGCCAAAAGGACACCGTTGTCATTTGGGGCCCGATTTGAAACACCCTCAGGCCCGGGCGGTTTTGAGGGGACTCCTCGCAAAGAGGGTATTAACCGTGCTAAAATATTTTCCAAATGACTTTTGGGACCCGGTGGTTTCCCTTTCAGTCACCTTTGGTTCAGGTGATATGGTTTGGATGTCTTACTAAAGTGGTGCCGGCATTTGCCGAGGGAAAGGCACTTTTCTTTCTTTTTCTTTCCGGGTTCTCCTAGTTTGACACATGCCCATTTTGCTTGGGTAAGTTTATTAACATGGGCCCAACACAGGCCCAACACGTGCTTTTTGGGTTTGAATAGGCCTCACTTTTCTTCGAAGCGCGGGGCCGATGCATTCGGCGATCCGAGGCACAGGTGGTCGCAGGGCAGCTTGGCAGAACACATGGCGGATGAGATCATTCAGGTCCAGAACCCCGGAGCTACCTGCCCAAACCCCTGGTCAAAAAAGACGGCCGAGCAAGGTCCCCAGGCAATTTCTCAAACTCCTTTCAACAAAAACCAGAGTTTATGGGAAGGGAAAAATGGGTTGGGTCTCGCCCCGCGCTGCAATCTTTTCGTACTGTTTTTGTAGTGGGTGTCCAAACTCCTCGTGACATCCGGACAAGGACATGCCCGACCCCTTACCCCGAAGCACTGAGGGCGGACGGCCAGCGCCGCAGCATCGCGGAGCGCGCCGGTGAGGCGGGGCCCGGGAGACAGTTTGCCTCGCCTCTGGTTTTCCCAAGATAGAGAAGAGAGCACCTCCTGAACTGAGCGGGCCTTGTCTTTCAGTTGGATGCTGTTCTTCTCGATTTCCTTCTAGCTACTTCGCACTTCTTTTCAGGGGTCCTTCTTTTTGGAAAGGCCATGTAAACAATTTAAACCCAGGGAAAACCACCAGTCACTGGTGAACAGAATAGGAGAACAACCTTTTAGAATCATTCCGGGAAATTATAACAAGCCACTGATGAAAGTTCCTGACTTGGGGGATTCCGTATTTCAGTACTGTGAATTTTGGATGGGTGAAACTTGGCACAATTTCCTGTTTTGGTTTAGTCATCCCCCTTACCTGGCCACATTTACCGGGAAAGGGCACCATTTGTCACCCTGTTCGCGTTGAAATCGAAAAACACATTCTCGACACGTTTTCCTAAGGCGCAGGGGGCGGTGGTGGTGTACCTCCGCCATCTCGCCTGCCAGGGACCCTGGCAGATGGCAAGATCACCTGTTGTCTCCAAATGGTATATGGACCCCCCCCCCCCCCGCAAAAGTGTACGTTCTTTCAGTTCCTCTTTCAAGCAGTATTTTTCGCGTAGCAACTCAACACGACACCAAAGGATTGCGAGAACTCGCCCAAAAATTGTGGGCATGGCCGACGCTTCGGGTCAGGTGGGGATGAGGAAATTGAGTCAGGTATCGTGGAATCTTTCCCTGCAGTTTCTTGCTTATTGAGAGGGTTTCAGACTTGAAAGGCGCCATCCTCCAGAAGGACACCAGGGCAAATTATACAGTGGAAGCCCTAAATATTGCAAGTGCCACCAAGGCACATGTTGACACCATTTCTGTGGCATCGCCCGCTGCGGCGGACCACTCTCCCCCAGTCAAAATGTTGAAGCCAAGTGCGTAACCCGTCTTCCGAGGCCCAATATATTGCAAGTTCAACATTGTATCAGGGGAAGGGGGGCCACAGATATCATGTCACAGTGCTTCGCCGTCAGCAGGGGGTTGAAACGTTACCCGTTACCCATACTGAAGCTTCCTTTCATAGGGATCTTATGTTTTTGTGAAAAAAACATAATTTGCCCAAAGGGCACCTAGGATTGGCGCGAAAGGGAACCAGCACCTGAAAAAAGACACCTTTTGGGAAAGACCACATTTGGGCCCGGAAACATTGGGGAGGAGGTCTTCGACTCGGACCTTGCGGCTTCCACCCGGTCAAGGGGACCTCCGCGAGATCCCAGAAACGCCGACCGCCTGAGATCCCGAACTTTGCCTTTTTCTAGAGTACAAGTTTGGACTTGTTGTGCCAATCCACTCAGGCCGCGCGATTAAGCCAGGGACAACCCGGGATTAATCAGAGCGCCAGGCACCAGGTGCTTTGGATCGGTGGTTTGGGGATTTGAAACCCGATTCTTGTAGAGGGTCAGTGGAAAAGCACCCTAAAGTCCGAACCACCAATCCAAACCACCAATTGGAGGGACGCTGATTTACAGGGAATTTAGGCAATCATTGTAAGGGTTCCTAGTAAGGAAGTCATAGCCATGAGAACCACCCCAATGAGTGGGGTGGTCCGGAGTTGACATCATGACAAGTTTCCAGAGCTCATCCAGCCAGGATGAAACGAGCAAAGGTCCCTACAAGAAAGAGCTGGAGTTCCAGCAGGGCGAGGCATACCAGCCAGCCATTTAAGTAGAGGTTCTACTACCAGGCATGATGAAGAATACTCCCCCCCCCCCAGCCCCTACTCTTTGTACATGTGAGCTGCGAGCGCTTCTTGCAGGCAAGATTGAACAACCACTGATTTTTGGAGAAATCAACAGCAAGTTAGGATCGCATGCGAAGGATGTTGGAGGACTTCCAATTTGACTACGGCAAGATTCATATTTTTGGATTGAGATACTGAGAATCCTTGTCGTGTTCCCCCTCTCACTGAAGGCATTCAGGCATATGACAATCAGTTGCCATCCAAGTTCTGCTTGCGTGTGCTCAAGCTGTAGCACATTGCCGACGGGCGAACTCTTCAATCGGAGGCATGGCTCGTGCAGAAGGCGCAGCGCCGTTAGAGAAAGAGGTCCCCTTTCCCCTGCTAGTGAAGCGGCACTTGCACGAAATCGGCAAGTGCCTGCCGTGCTACTACCACACCCGGGAGGGCTGCACCAAAGGAGATGACTGCGGCCGATGCCATTTCTGCAGCTTGGCGGAGATGAAGCTTCGGAAGAGCCAGCTGCAAAGGAAGGCGCGGAAGACGAAGGCAAAGCTGGCCGAGGCTGTCACCACGGCATTCTGGCTGTGACGAAGTTGCTGCCTTGGGCCATGCGTTTTTTAGCTCCCAATTCTTCAAAACAAAGTCACAAGGCCACAAAAAGGAGCCTAAACTGAGTTCTCAAACTGAAAGGCTCACGGTGTAGTCTCAGCGAGGCTGCGAGATTTTGATGCGCCTCATTTGTTTTCAAGACGATTTTGGGCACTGCTCGTGTGGGGCCAGTTGCGCCCAAAGGCCGCAAATGGACGGTCTTGGGGTGGACGTCAGACAGGCGAGCCTCTTTCAAGTCAGCCAGTTGTTCAGCACCCAAACGCCCAGACCTGCAGTGGTGCCATTTTTATAGTTTGTTTGTGGAGCGGAATCCCCTTGATGTCAACTCCGATTCGTGAGGAGGACCATACCGATCAGAGCCCCCCCCCCAAAAAAAAGGAAGAAAGAGTATGAATTTCCCGCGGAAAGGGAGCCGGCTCTGATAAGTACGCTCCTGATGAATCCGAAGTTGCCACTAAACGGCAACCAATTTCAACGAGTCCTTTGTTTCCCATGAAGGTCTGGGCTTCTTGTTTTTTCTCTCCCTCTCTCTGTGTTTGGTTCTGAGCATGGTAAAATCATATCTTTTCTCTACCAGGGTCACTGAGCAACAATGAGTGAGGCCAAGTGTTTGCGCCGAAAGCAGCTGTGGGCAAGCGCTGCGTGCATGGTTTGAGAAATGTTCAAAACAAGAGTTTTCTTCTCATATTGCCATGTTGATAGCAGCTGTAACACAACCGGCCCCCTACCTGGAAGCATGATCTGAGTTGTGTTCCAGGGACAAATCATTTTGATCATGGCTCATTGACGAGCTTTCGCCTCTGTGCAGTTTGGCCTGAGATTGCGTTGAAGCCCACTACCCGGTTGGTTGTTGCATAAATCCTTATGCAAGCGATGTCCACAACAGAAACAAATCAGATTCATACTGTGGACGAAATCCTGCACCACCAAAGAAACCCTGGAATATGATTCCCCTATAAATGCAAACAATGGTTGCCATGGTTTCAAAGTGGTGCAGGATTTCGTCCATTCACAGTATCATCCCCATTTCAAAGTGCTCCCATCATTTCAAAGCTGGGGTGCGGCGGTACCTCATCTCATTGAGTTTCAGGGCTTCAAAAGCCAGTTTTTCTCACCTGGGATCGCATCGCCTGCAGTATCGCAGATCTCAACTTGTAGGGGTGATGCCAAGTCCTGTGGCGAGTACAGGGCTGCTCCGAGCTCACTGCTGGGCAGGGCTCCCGGCCCAAAAAAATGGGACCAAAAGGGCAGACAAGTTGGCAGAAGCATGTTCCCCCTCCTGCTTTCCTAGGGGCCGATGAGCTGGTCTTGGGAGCAACCCGGTCGGAGTCCATGGCTGTCTCACTTTGATCCGCAACGTGGGCCGCGGGAAACAAAGCACAGGACAGTGGATTCTTTGGACATTGCCAGCGAAGCGAACTACGAAGCCATGGCGAATTGCAGCAAACTAGGGTTTCCAACTTTATGCCCTGATTGCAGTATGTGGGGAATCCAGGCAACTGTTCATCGCACTTGGGTCCAGAACATTGAAGAAAACTCCGGCCCCTTTTTGGGGCTGTCAGGGCCGAATGGAAGTTCCAATTTGATTGAACCTTCAGGACCCGGCAAATTCCCACACGGTTTTGGCTTAATCGCTTGTTTTCTATTTGGTTGGATCTTGATTTAGTCCTCCCGACCAACCAAAAAGGCACGCTTTGTTGCACTTGGGGCAACTGCCACACATCAGTGTTATAAAGGCCAGAGCAGGTGGACCAACTGCAGGAGTGGCATAAGGACCCTACGCCCAGGTTGTCAGAGCCCTTCCAAGACCCCCTCTGTGTAAGGTTACATATTTTGCTGTGGGGAGGGGGAGCTTCTTGTTTCCTGCAGCAATTTTCATCTCATGCTACCATCTATATCTATCAGGGCTTGATTTCCATTGGTTTGCATCGTTGTGATTCACGAATGGGTGCTTTTGTGTTGATGTGCCACTTGCGATTTTGCTCCTTTGGAAGAGACCATGATTTTGCATTTCTTTTGCAACGTTAAACGTCTTGGGCCTCCAGGCGTCTTGATCTCCTGGTCCACGGCTACACAGGTATCCATTGATGATTCCCCCCCGCATTGGTTGTCAAATTGTTGACCCTTATTTTGCTTGGGGCTTGCTTTGGAGCAGTGAGCTGGCTATGAGGGCTATGGCCGTCTTGAAGAGGGCCACGGGCCACGGGTCTTGCATGGATCTTGACACACACACACACACACAGTCATGATTGGTCTGTTTGCGACCTGTTCCCGTAGCCAGACCGAGGCTTAACAGAGACGCATGTCTCACTCGATTAAACCCTGCCCAGGACCCTACTGCTGGTCCCACGTGCGAGAGTGGCCGCGCTCCCAGAGTTGGCGAACAGCGTCACGTCGACCAAGGCAAGAGAATGGAAGAAATTTGGGAACAATAAGGCAAGATGGGACCACTGATCAGCCAGAGCAGAAGTCTGCCCTTTGCTGCCCATTTGGAGCAAGCCGCTCCATGTGACCGAGGTGCCAACCTGACGTGCTGAAAGGTATTGAGGACGCAGCGCCATGCTGCTCAGTGTTGTGGACAACTGGGGTAGGTTGCAATCTTGTATGAATGATGAAGGGAGTCCCCAGCAAAATGACAATGCGGTGGGGATGGGAAAACCTGTGGTATCAAAAGGCTTGTTTCCCACAACCATGATGCGCTCGGAGTTCCTCGCTTGTGCTCCGGCACTTTGTGGTTTCAACCGGTTGATCGCTCTTCAATCAGAGGATGCCAGTTGATGCTTTCTTGAACATCAGCATTCGGAAAGACTCCCTTGTAGGAGGACGCTACTGTTGGGAGGCCTGTTGGGATCCATGTTCTGACTGGTTTAGCTTCATCACGAGTCTGAAGAGGTCCACAATAATACAAACAGAAAGGTCCCTCATGGGGGGGGGGGTTAAACATAGGGATTTGGTAGCTTTTCTGCCAACAGGGGGTCCACAGCAATATAAAAGGGTCAAGCACTGTAATTTCCAACACAGACACACACACACACACAAGCACACTCTCACACAGTCACGAAGAAACACACACACACACAAACACAAACAACACACCCGCAAACAAACAAACACATACACACACACACACACAAGCACCACACACAACCACACACACACACACAACCACACACACACACACACACAAACGCGCGCACGCACGCACGCAGGCACGCAAGCGCGCGCGCGCGCGTGTGCACGCGCGCACGCGCGCATGCGCGCACGCGCGCACGCGCGCACGAGACGCACGAGACGCGTGCACGCACGCACGGACGCACGCACGACGGACGCACGGACGGACGCACGGACGCACGGACACGCGGACGCACGCACGGACGCACGGACGCACGGACGCACGGACGGACGGACGCACGGACGGACGCACGGACGCACGGACGCACGGACGCACGGACGCACGGACGCACGGACGCACGGACGCACGGACGCGCGGACGCGCGGACGGACGCGCGGACGCGCGGACGCACGGACGGACGCACGCACGGACGCACGGACGCACACGCACGCACGCACGCAACGCAAGCACACACGCGCACAACCACACACAAGCAAAACACACACAGACAAAAGCACACACTCAAAAACTCAAACACACAACACAGACACAACCACACAGCCACACAAAGAACACAAGCACACAAAAAAAGCAAACACAAACACACAAACACACAAGCGCTCAAACACACCAACACACAAACACACGCCCACTTGAACACGTACACGCACACAGCCTATTGTCCCAGACATGCCACGCTTCCGGTCCGCGCCAGGAGAGGGGCCTGGCTGGGCCGCTGATGATCGCCCCTGGCACGGCGGGAGATTTCCGTTTCCCACTGGGCGTGGTGCGAAAGGTCAGCATTTTAGACCTCAATCCTGCGATCTATCTTGAAAACACATGGCATAGGTGCACGAAATATGAGCCAATATCAAGCCCATCCTTTTGGGCAAAGCTGAGGACCCTGTGTAGAGATGATGTCTCCCAAAGGCTTCCTGACTATGATGCATCAAGGCTTTTGGTTCACCAACCGGTTCCCTTCACGCATGAACACCCATGAGAAAAATGGGCTTCTCACCAGGTCACCCAAGAACTCGGGCGGTTTCTGCCACTTGGGACAAGCGGCCCTAAGACCCGTACCCCCTCCCCCCCCCCCAGTTTCAGTGATGAGATGCCCTCCTTCTCACTAACACGTGGCAGTCTCGTTTTGAGTCGTTAAGTCAGCTCCACACCCATTCGGGTGTTTCTTACATTGAACTCCTTGAAATCATTTATGACTGTTCCAAGAACGGGTCTGCTGGCTTGCTTCGGGGAGTCCAGGTTTCTTGCTTTTTGCTTTCCTTTACCAGTTTTTTTTGGAAGCGGGGGTGGAAGGGGTCCGCGTGTTGTTATTTGTTTGTTTTCCTTCGGCTTGGAGCGTCTCGGTCGCTCCACCCCACTCCACGGTTTGCGGCTCGCGAGGTGAAGCAGCTGAACGAGTTCCTGGACGAGCTCCCGGAGGTGCCCAGAGACAAGGCACGATGCGCTGACCGTGTGCAACGAAACATCCAGGCAACGACGAAACGTATTGGCCATAAAGAGTTCTAGTGGTTTATCAGCCCAAAAGTAGAGCCCGCAAAGAAGACACCCACATACTGAGTTGTCCAAAGCGAACCGAGCTCTAAACCTCTAGTCTTGTGCGTTGCTTTGTGGCAACCATTTTGGGCCAAGGTCTTACAAGGTTAATTTGATTAAGGGAAGCATGGCTGTGACCCGCAGAAGGAATTTTGACCATGGCACATGTGCCTGTTTGATTCAGTACCCTTCGTTTAGGTTTGTTGAAGGATAGATAAAAAGCGAACCCACCCATTTGGGGCTGGGGGGGGGTTTCACTATTTTGAGTCAGCCCCAAATGGCTGTGAATCTGAATTGTTGGGACACACTCAGAAATGGTTGGTGATTGCATGAATCCCTAAACGATGCCCACGAAGCCTCCCTTTTCTGCTGCAGCTTGGAGAGTTTTACCCGTCGCCTTGGCCAACTTAAATTGAGCTTCTGCAGTCGGGAATCGCTGGGAAGTGACATGGAGAGGCAAGTCTGCACTTGGGTGTGTGTGACTTTGAGTGATTGTGTGATTGTGAGTGATTGTGAGTGATTGTGAGTGATTGTGAGTGATTGTGAGTGATTGTGTGTGATTGTGTGTGATTGTGTGTGATTGTGTGTGATTGTGTGTGATTGTGTGTGATTGTGTGTGATTGTGTGTGATTGTGTGTGCGTGTGCGTGTGTGTGTGTGTGTGTGTGTGTGTGTGTGTGTGTGTGTGTGTGTGTGTGTGTGTGTGTGTGTGTGTGTGTGTGTGTGTGTGTGTGTGTGTGTGTGTGTGTGTCTGTGTCTGTGTCGTGTGTGTTCTGTGTCTGTGTCTGTGTCTGTGTCTGTGTCTGTGTCTGTGTCTGTGTCTGTGTCTGTGTCTGTGTCTGTGCCTGTGTCTGTGTCTGTGTCTGTGTCTGTGTCTGTGTCTGTGTCTGTGTCTGTGTCTGTGTCTGTGTCTGTGTCTGTGTCTGTGTCTGTGTCTGTGTCTGTGTCTGTGTCTGTGTCTGTGTCTGTGTCTGTGTCCGTGTCTGTGTCTGTGTCTGTGTCTGTGTCTGTGTCTGTGTCTGTGTCTGTGTCTGTGTCAGTGTCTGTGTCTGTGTCTGTGTCTGTGTGTGTGTCTGTGTCTGTGTGTGTGTGTTAGTGTGTTTTAAGGGTACCCTTTTGGTGTCGGTCCAACGGGGAAACCAAGCGAAACCGAGGATTTGTTGCGGCCCCGCATTTTGACACATACCCACTTTGACCGTTGCTGGTGGAGTACTCCGGCAAGCTTAGAAAAGCTATGCAGCCCATAGTAAGAAGGAGCCCGAAATGGGCAGGGTCGACGAAGCAGACTTCTGCAAACCAATGGGCGTCCTTGTTTCATGTGAATCTGCAGAGGTGTAGGTGTTACAACAACGTTTAATCTGTCCTAAAAGACAGCTCCATTTTTGTATGGTCCGGTTTGGATCAAGAACATTGCGACCAATAGACTATCGCCAAAGCTTTCCCGCAGGCTTGATGATCTCGCGCATAAAAGTGCAAGATCGGCAGATTGATAAAATGTGTTTCCTTGAAATTCCTTCGTCTCTTTCGTTTTGCTTTCATGTGTGACTTGACAGTCTTCGATTTGTTTTCGGATCTGCGGCCAGAGGTTGGGACAGCCTTGCCCTTGTTTTCTTGTTGAACGGAGCGCAGGTGTGCGTGGACGACTCCAACGGCTACCAGGCATTAGGGGGTTCCTGACTAATTCACAGGCTCCTTTTTGGGTCATGATGTCGGCCCGTTGCCGAAAACGGGGGTATGTACCTTGGAAAGCCTACTTGATTCTAAGAACGGAATGCATGGGAAACCACGCCATTTTCATGCATGCTGAAAGCCCGAGCTCAACAGCGCACGTTTAGCTTGCAAGTAGGACTGGCAGAATCTCAGGTGACCTGTGCATGTCGGACTCAGCGTGCATAGAGCTGCCATATTCTGTGCTGCCACCCCTGTGCAAAGTCCCACAACCACTCACAACCATGCAACACAACATCGGAACATACCTTAAACTAAGAACAACACCGGAACCTACGTACCAGGTTGTTTGTCCGCATGCTTCCTCCAAAAGGGATCCCCTGACTGGTTTTGGAGGAACACAGGCAAGAGACCACCTGGAGGGATCGCTCAACTCGCCTTGAACCGTGCGAAGCACAGTATGAGCTTCCCCATTCTTCCAGGGAGCCTTCAGTCTCCACCAAAACCTGTCAAAAGGGTGGTTTTTGCGAAGAATCATGGTTGAACAGAGTGGTTGGATTCAATCCCAGAGTCGGCAACCGACTTCAAACCTCACGGTTGCGGATGGTTCAACCGACTGGTCGGTTTCAGGTTCTGGATGGTGCAGAGGACGCCAGAAGGTATGTGTATGTGTGTGTATGCTCAGTAGGGAATGAGGGAATGAACCTGGGGATCCCTTTGAAGCAAAACCACAAGGGATGGTTTATAGGGCTCCTTCCCTCCTTCCCTGCAGCTTGTTTTCCCTTTCAAGCGCCCTCCCCGAGCGGGCGAAGTTGCCAGGCCTACGCCGCCATGAACTTTGGGCGGCTCGGGGAGTCCACCCCGACTGGCGTGAAGATGGAGGCGCGGGGTTGTTCCCTGAGGCTTTCTCCAAGAACTTGACACAATCTGGGACTCTAGTGTACCAGGTGCCTTTCGGGAACCCTAACATGGGTACAGTAATAAGCAAGTTTCGATTGCACCAAAGGACAAGTGTGTGTGTAGCATCCGAAGGAACAGATTTGTTAGAACCTATTTAGGGCTATTTTGTTTGGCATCTTTTCACTCCCCAAGTTCCTATACAGTTGCTTCATATAGCACAGGGGTTTACTTTGGTGTCCGCTTTCTTTCTTGTCGGGGATGGTTATTTTAGAAACCTCACGCCAAAACATGTGGGCCGTTTGAGAGCATTGCCTCGGCACCGAACATTGCAGGTGCCCGACCTGGGTGGCGTCGGCGGCGTGTTCAAGTACCTCGGCAAGGTGGTGTCTCTGGCGCCTGAGCAGCGGGACGAGAAGGGCGTCCCCCAGGCGCGCGCACAGAGAGTGACAGGGTGGACCTCTGAGAACTGAATTTGCGCATAAACCGTAATCATGGGCTGCGTCCTCGTCCTCACAGACCGCATCCTAGCTGCTTGGTCTTGAATCTGTCACCGCTGTTTGGGTTCGGTCATCAAGGTCTGGTCTGTCGTGGTCAGAGATCGTCAACTCTGTCACAGCTCTTGTGATCGGACAGCGAGGACGCCTCCATTCGATGGCCCTTTCAAAACCAATCCAGTTGTTCAGTGGCACCCTTTTCCACACGCAAAAGGGAATCACCCCCAAACCGAAATGAGTGGCTTTTCTATCTTTTGGGTCACTTGTCAGGGCCAACTGAAAAAGGGCTTCGATCCGAGTTTTGGACGACCAAGCCAGTCAACTTTCGATTCACCCAGCCCACCAACCCACCAAAAGCCCCAAAGCCCAAACTTTCGCCTTTCGCCACGAAAGCTCAGGGTGTGCTCCTGCTCGGGGGCACCTTCGTCGTGAAGAGCACCGAGGTGCGGTTGGTGGAGATGGGGAGAGGTATGGCGGACGCGCGCGTGGCTCTTTGATGGTACTTGCAGGGTACCTTTTTTCAGCTTCATTTCAAAGGAAGCCAAAAGGATGCCGCGATTTTGAGAGTCCAACTCCCAATTTTTGCAAGTGAACCAAGCCCATCTAACCGCTCCTTTTTGGCAAGGCGCGGTGAATTACAAAGGTTTTAACTTGTTCCCCTACTTGCCGTCGAAAGTGACATGGAACACCCTTACTTGGGGGGTTCAAGCCTTCTTCATATTTGCCGCGAAGCAAGGGAGCAACGGAAGCCACCCCAGTGTTTTGTCAGCACTCAGGGTTGGCTGGTAGTGCTTAGGGCAACAACCTGATGCATACCCCCTTTCGCATAACCCTTGCGTGAATGCTTTTGTTCATCCAGTATCATCTCCCCAAATGGCCCGGGGGGGGACGTTTGAAAAACATCTGCACAGATGCAAACCGGGTGTTCGGGCACACATCTTTGACCAGCGCGGCGGGTTTGCTTCATTTGACGAGGGGCTTGTGTCTTCCCCGCTCCTTTCACCTTGATATGGGGGTGCCTTTTCTTGGGAGCTCCCTTTTGGTGGGTTTCAAAAAGAGGCCAAGAAAACTGTTGCCATTTTGAGGACCACTTATTTTGAGACAAGCCCATGGCCCCTATCTGTTTCACTTTGCGAAAGACATGTTGCTCAGTAGATCACTTTGTCGAAGGACATGTTGCTCTGTAGATCCCTGCAATGGTTGGTTTATTTTTTGCTCCCCTGCAAGATCAACAATGAAGGGAGTCCCAATTTTAGGAAACACGCATGGGCTGTATGAGGGTTATTGTCTAGCCAGATCCTGCCCATTCTCTCCAGGTATTCTGTTCTTCAGAAGGTGGGCTGAAACCGAAACCACATGAAACCATGCGCTTTCCGCAAAAGAAGGATTTCTGGGGAGAACTGGAAAGGACACCGTCTCTGAAAAGAAGCAGGGCTGCTGAGAACAATAAGCGAAGAGAATGGGGAACAACTGTGTGTGAGAGAATGCAAAAGGAAACAACCCTCTTTCCAACAATCATGGAAGTGGATAGGGAGGTTAGTCTTCCATCTGTGATTGTTGGAGGGAGGCTAGATTTTGTCGGCATGTGCCTGAGGGGTGGCCCATGACAACGGCAGGTAACCTACGCTTGGGCCGACCGCCCTCCCCGGCATGCTTGAGAAGAGTGTGGGGTGGGATGGCGGCCCCCCAAGAGTGGATTCCAACCAGCTTCCCTTCAAAGCAAGCTCCAGCAAAGGGGTGGGGTGGTGGATTCCCTAACTAGAAAGCAAGTGACAGCAAATGTGGGGATCCACCTTGCTTTCTGAACAAAGGACACGCATCATAATCCTCCCACCCACTAACATGGAACCTGGGCTCGTGGAACAGCATTCTCCTCGCCCTTTGGTGGAAGCTCTGTTAGCTGATGGGAAGCGCAACTAGTTTCGCAGAGCCTCTTTTTGGGATGATTTCAGAGTAGAAAGGGAACCAACAATCGAAGTTCCGTAGTTTGACAAACACGCACACACACACACACAAACTTGGTTGTACGTGTGTATGTCATCGACCATTTGCATGAAGGAAGAGGCACCATGTCAATGTACACATGCCATGTGGAATCCAGAGATACGAGATTCTCCCCCTGTTCGGTGCCCCAGAAGGAGTTCGCTTTTGACATCAGTTTGCGGAGGTTCGCTTGAATGCAATCTGAGGGTTCTTCGCGACTCGCTTCAGGTATCCCAGGCGATTATCCCAAGCTCGCACCTGAGTACACGTCAGCAAGGTTTAATTACTTGAAGGGGCAGGGGACTTGGCTGTCAGCTTGTTGAAATTATTTGGGGGACTTGCAACCATGCTAAGTGGGTTATAGCCATTCCTAAACGCTGAACGCTTACTACGCCCCCCCTGCAAGTGGGGTCTGGTTGTTGAAACAATGCTTGCAGGTGGACAATGTAGAAGGGGTGACCCCCGACTGACCAGAAGGCACCGGGACCCTGAACTCACGCTTTCAAACCATGGAGAAAACTGGCCCCCTAATTTCCTCCAAAAGACAACCCTGAACCAAACTAGGGCTTAGATTATGTTATCGTATGGCTGAACCTTTAGAAGGAAAGCATATAACAAGTGGAATTCGACCCCTAAACTAATAGCGAAAGGCGGGTCTCCTTTTCATTTCTGTGTGAACTTCCTACATTGGTTGGACCCCTCCAGTTCTATGACAGAGAACCATGTTAGGATCTCTTTGAAGGCCCCACTCAGGTTCCTTTCTTCACGTAGGAGGAGGGTTCATTGCGGGAGAAGTGGCGGTAGCGCCCGCAGACACATTTTCGTTTTTGGTTTTCCAAACAGTTTGCCACAAGGTGTGCTTTGCCACAGTTGCATTGGCTGAGGCCGGCCGAAGTTTTTGCTGGTCTCAGCGAAGACTAAAGGGCTGAGAGGCGGCTGGCGGACAGAGCCCTCCTGGTTGGGAATAGGAGGTGTGTGTCCCACGGAAGAGGGGGTCCACGAAATACTTCCCTCATATTCCATCAGGTTGATTAATCAAGCTTGATCCGTCGAGGACAGATAGCACCCTCCAAAACAGATACACTAGGTTGATTCCAACTCAACAAAGCAAGTCAACCAATCCAGAAGAACACAGACATTTACAGGGTTTCCACTGCAAACATCCCGCCCTTTTGTGTTAATTTTCAAAGCAAGCGCGACATCAAGCAAGTCCCACTTCAAATTCAGGAGGGCACATGATGTGCTTGTCGAAGGGGGCGTGAGGCTTGACAGTACATAGGCTTGTCTCTTAAAAGGGGGGGGAGCCTCCCGTTTTGCTTGGTTTCCCTGACCCAAAGGACATCTACCCATCTGCAAATTCAGCCTCTTGATAAAGTGTTTGTTGCTCCCTTAGTGAGGGCCGGTACGGGCAGAGCTTCTTTTGACGCCTCAATATCAAAGCTAGGGCAACAATCCAGACCCGCACCATTTAGAACATCCGCAGACCCTTGAGGGTAATAGTCAAGACTTGAGCCAGTGCAGAAGGTCAGTAGGGGCACAGTCGCAGTCATGAATTGGCGCGGAAAGTTTCCCGCCCTTTTTTGATTCTTTACAGGTGTTGGGTGGACCCCTTACCAGGTTTGATTCAAGATCCGACCTGGCTCGGGCTGCCCAGGCGGGCGAAGGTTGCGGGTTTTGGGGCCTTTTTTGAGTTGGTATCACAGAAAGAGCCTATTTTGCACAAGCAGGGTTTGATGATGTGCTGGTTGTTGGGAGACTTGCAAGCATCACTTGTTGACAGCGTGCCCCAACACTGACAACTCGAGTCCAGACAGAGCTGATGACCATGCTGCTTTCAACTTCGCAGCCTTCAGCTCGTTGGTACTGTAGCCGCGTGTCAATCATAGGAATTATTCAAATGATTGGTTGTATGTTTGGTTTTGTTTAGCATTCCCAGGAGTCTCCCCAGCAAGGTTGGGCAAACTGCTTCAAACACTCAGAACCGGTCGCCAGAAGAAGGAACCCAACTGAGAAACATGTTTGAGCAAGGACTTGGACCAAACCTGTTTGGTTTCCTTGTTTTAGCGTTTCTATTTGCATTTTCCTGTTCCTTTTTGGCGGCGGCGCCTCCCCTGGAAGTATGGCTTTTGGCCAGGCCCTGGACTCGCGATGTTGGGCAGAAGGCGGGCGAGGTCGGAGCCTCAGGCGCCGGCCGTATGTTCACAGCAAGGATACAGCCCAAGATTTGCTCCAGACGCCTTTTTGCTACCAACTTCTGACAATCGGGCTTGAATGGCAACCCTGCAGGATTGCTCTGAGCCGTTCAAAATCTGTGGAACATCGGCTTTCCCAAAGTTGCCTGAACCTCAGCCCCAAGGGTCCAGCTACGTTCTGAGAATGCACCTAAGAGCCTAAAACATCCTCACAGGGTTGCTTGGACCCTTAAGGGGGCAGAAAATGGGTCGGTTTCCTTATATAACTAAGATTGGCAGGACGCCTGAAAAGAGCTCCTTTTTCAGCAGATTCGCATCAGCATTGACGGCTTTTTCGAATGCTATACAATCTGCGGGGAAGTTCAAAGCGAGCTGTTCAGCGTGCGAGCAGCTGTTGGACGTTCATGAGAAAGGCATATGACTCCCGGTCGGCGGTGCAAAGTTGCAAAGCTGGAGTCTTGAACCGCGCCCAGATGTTTGACGGCTGTCATGTTCATACAAATGCTTGTGTTGCAATCATGATGATTGCATTATTTTGTAGAGATTGTGCCGAATCAGACATCTTCCTGAACAGCATAGCTTGTCTGGCGCAAATGAGCAGGACATTGACACTTTTGTGGCAAACCAACGAGCAACGTACCATTTGAGGTTTCCATGCACAATGCTAACAAACTAGTGTTGGACCTCCTTTATTAATAGTACTCTCTATTGTATTTGTTTTTTCTAATTCAGAATCGTTGGACTGTTTTGGGGGTTCTCTATTGTGGAAAGTTTTTTTTGCCGGAAAGAATGCTGGGAAAATTATGGGCAAAACACTTGGCAAGCAAGTCGGGCAAAAAAAAAGGCAACCAAATCCTGGCAAACATTGGGAAATTGTTTTCTTGAAGTGGTCCCCAAACCATCAAATTTAAGATAACTTCTTTACAAAAAGGTGCGGGCAAACAGTCACACATGGGGGGGTGCCCACAAGACGCCCAGATCCTGTTTGATGCGACTGTTTTGGGGTCCTCTTTAGTGTCCAACTGGTTTTGGGGGTTGCTCAAAAAACGATCCTTGGCAATACTAAAGTAGAATTGGCAATACTGAAGTAAGTACTGCAAACCTGAGAGGGAGCTTTGGCAATACTAAAATAGAAGTGGCAGTACTAAAGTAAGTACTGCCCCTCCCGGACCCCCAGGATCTCACTAAAGAGAGTCCCGCCGACTGGTTCCACTGTTCAGGGGGGGGGGAGTCACACTAAAGAGAGTCCAACATTAACTTCTCTTCTTTTTGCCAAACGTGCCAACCAAGGCTTTGGCAATAGGGCCACCCCCTCAACAATCATAAAGTAGACAAGGGGCCTTTCCCCAAAAAACAGTTCCGGAGTCCCAGAGTCAGCTTCCGCAATTCTTGAAAGGAGGGCATGTAGCATTGGCAAGAGGTAGACTGGGGAAACAGCTTATGTGGGTATGTGTAAAAATAGGGCAAGCCCCCAAAACGTTTGGTTTCCTTTTGGTATCCCTTGCAGCAGCCTGAAAAGGGCACCCTGAAAAACATGCAGAGCGCCGCCTCATTGCTTGTTGGGAACTGCGCCCGCACGCACGTGAGATCAGACTCATGTCAGGCAGCGGAGGCACGTGCGACAGCACAGGCCGGGCAGTGCTTTTTTGTTTCTGTTTGTTTTTTTCCTGGGGGGGGGGGGGGGGGAGAATACGACCCGGGTTTATCAAGGCGACATCCTCGAAATGTTTTGATTCCAAGGCAAACCTCCAAAAGCTTTGAGAGTCCTGAAACTTGCTCACTTGAAGGACCCAGACAAGGGGATGCTGCCATGGTGCTAAAGATGGGCATGATACCAAGACAATCCCCCTGTGACTTAGTCAAAGTCATCGCACTTGGTATGACAGAAAGGGTGAATCTCCATGACAATGGACATTTCTCCAAGGGGGGTGGTGCACATTGGGGTCTCGATATTTTCAGCCGCAAAGTCAAAGGGCCTTCTATTTCCTGACCCGAAGCAATCTAGGGACTGGCAGGGTTGATTTGAGAATGGGATCTCCGGTTCCTCGGGATGAAATGAATTTGTGGGCAAGTGAGAACCAAATGCCATGGACCCCCTGGAAACCTCACTGTTGGACAATGGTTGGCCCCACCCCTCTGGACTACTTTTTTGCTCTCTCCGTCAAACCCAAAGCCGCCGGACCCCCTTGTTAGAGGTCTCAAAGTGAACAAAATCAGGGCTCTGTTTCACTGAACCAAGCATTTTGAGGGGTCTCAAAACACTTTGGGCCCGCTGGTTCCTTGAGCCCACCATGTACAGTGCAAGTGAAGGAACGTTCCTAAAAGTGCTTGGATTCTCTTTTGCAAGGTCTCCTTTTTTTCAGAAACTTTCCCCGGGGTTTTCTTTGAGTCTCCTCACCCCCACCCGGGCTTGAGGTGACGGCTGCAATTCGTTGGCAATGGCCGGCCTTGAGGCGTGATCCGAACCCCACGGTTAAGAGGGCGTTGGGTGTGTTTTTGGAGGGTACCCATGTTGGGGTTGTTACAAGGAGGGCCAAAAGACACCCACACATTTTGGGAGGTTCCCCCTTTTGAGACAGCCCCTTTTTTGTTTCTGTAGGCCCCCACCCCCCCTCCCCCCAAAACAAGGAACAAGAAGAAAAGACAAGGCCCTTTGGCCCTTTGATCTTCCTTTCGAAACACCCCAAGGCTGACCCTCAAAATTGCAGCCAGGGTATCTCCAAAACAAGGAGCAGGGGAAGGCATCTTGCGTTGTGAAGAGGACGACATTAGGTACAGTGACCGAAGCCGGGAGATGGGTTTACTTACCACATTCCGAAGTAGGCGGAAGAACCTTGACAGCGGCTCATGCGATTGGTTCGCCAAAGGAGTGGTCCTCGGAGGCATCTTCTTCGTGGTTTGAGTCCTCTTGGTTTGTTGCCAAAAGCATCTAGGTCTTTCTTTTAACAGCTAAGCCCATCCCCATCCGGGTGAGAGGTTGGTCGGTGTACCTAAACTTTGAGACTTTAGAGGAGGTTCGGTCAAAATGTCTATAGGCCACGTCCATTTGGGAGGGACATGGAGGTCACTGAATTTCACCACCAAAAACAGGAGACTGACCAAGCTTCCCATGTCTTTTTACCTGAAATATCGTCGTTCTTGAAAGCCCCTGAATGCCAAAACACCTGTCATCTCGAATTATCCCACAGGGACTTACGCATTTTTTTCAGCTTACCTGTTTGGCCCAGCTTCTATGCACAAGATTTCTCGGCCAAATGCAGCTTCGCAAGGTGGTTGTTGCTTTTCGCAGCTCTGAGTTAGTGGTGGCGCGCTTTTCCCGCCGCAGAACGCCGGCGCTTTGTCCAACACCGCGGAGAGGGGATGTGTCAAAAAGCGAAGGGTGTTTCCTGCAGTTTGGCACCGGGGTTGCCCCCTTTCGATTTGGACAACATATCCGACACCCCGAAAGGCTGTCCCAAAGGGGCAACATGTCGACCCCAGAACAGGGGGCCCATGAAAGTGGGTTGTTTAAAGCCGGGCTCACGAATGTTTGCCACTGGAATTTTCACGGGTTCGCCCAAAATTCAAAACCTGAAGTAAAAAATCTTCTCGGGACTTCATCATCGTGAGCTCGTAGCCCAGATGAGTTTGCGAAGTTGCAGATTTACTACCCTTCATTTATCAAAAGAAACTGGTCAAGCTTCAAGAAACTGGTCAAGCTTCAAAAGCAGGGCCCCCTGAAGAGAGAGATAAAAAGGGGCAGAGGTTTTGCTCATGATTCCATGACAGAACAAGAGACGAACCGACCCTCTTCTCGATTCGTTTGGAATGGAAGGCAGGAAAATTAGGGGATCGGAAGGGGCCCCAGCGTCCCAGAAGCATTTCGACACATCCCCAGAGAAACAGCAGCAGCAGCAGCAACAAAAGCAGCAGCAAAATGGGCATCGGACAATATTAGCTTTAGCCCACCGTCGTTCGGAGAAGGCTACGCTGTTTTCTGCTCTAAAACCAAGAGATGATGCCAAATCAAGTTTCCTGTTGCCTTTGGGGAAGTATTCAATATTGTCCGTGACTCAAACCGAGCAGGACGGTTGTGGGTACCGAAAAGGTGACTTTCAACAGTCGTGTACCTGCTTTGGGCGGAGCCCAGCTTCTCCCGCCAGTTTTCACCAGTTTTTCCGCTGTGGAATGTCGCGTGCGGGACTCGCATGCGCGCCATGAAGTTTTCGATGCCGGCACAGGCAATGGCATTTTCGCAGTACTTGCAACCAGCTTGAATCCACCTTCTTGCCTTTTTGCCTTTGGCTGAGTTTGGGTGCTCCTTGACTCAAGGCGGTTGCAAGCACTCACCGGCAGAATCGGTTTAGCCATCCACGCCCTGCTTCCAGATGTAGAACAAAGAAGCTGCACGTGCACGTGCTTGCCGCTTGGTGTGGTCTCAGCATCAATATGGGTGTGTCTCAAATCTACCTTTTTGGACTCCGAGCACGGTTTCTATTTCCTTTTTGAGGACCTAAAGATTTGTTTCATCTTCTTGAAGACCAAGCAGCAAGGGGGATTCTGAATCCATTCTGAGATAGAAGTTGCCACTCGCGGCGCCTTCGCACGACCCGATCGGATCTCAGGCGCCCACGCCTCCGCCCGGAGCTCAAGCGAGAGTGCCGGCATGACCCGCTTCGACGGAGTGCGCTTGGGGCTTGCCCTCCAAGAATGATGGAAGTGGAGAGGGTGTTGGAAGACGACCATCCTTTTTGAAGGCCTCTTGTCCACTTCCAGGATTGTTGGAAAAAGGGTAAGTGGAAGGAATACAATTTTCCAAGTGCGAGGAACCGCGGCACTCTGGGCATATTCATTGGGTTCCTCAAACATGCCGTTTTCCAACACTGATGGGCACCCTGAAGGAGATCCATTGTATAGCTGCCACGTTAGTGGACGGAAGGGTGTCAATCCAAGGGAAACACGGATGGTTTCCTTTAGGCTTCCTGAAACCCCATCCAGAAGGTGGTCCCTCGATCAGGGGTTGAATGTCCGTGGGTTGGACATGTACGGCGCCCTGTTTTAAGCCGTGGTTGTAGGTTGCAGCACAGCTTCCGTGATACCAAAGAAATCCCTACTAAAGTGACAAAGTAGTCATGGGAATTTCCCGTAGACCGGAAGTGTGTTTTTTCCTAAAGTTGGGGATTGACTCGGAGTCAAGCAAGCCGAGGCATCTTCCTTTGGGGACCCTTGTTTGGGATTTCATATTGATTGGAAGGGGAGTAATTTTGGGAAGTGCCCCATGTTTCCTTTAAACATTGAAAACGGTGGGGTCCCCAATATCTAGACAACGTGTTAGATGCCCCAATATCTAGACAACGTGGCGCTTTTTTGAAGATGGGAATCCACGGGTGGACTCGGCAGCACATGCCCCCAACTGTCAGTTCATCCAAAACAGGTGGCCCGAGAGCCGATCTGAGGCACGGCAAGGAGAAGGTCCTGGGTGTGGCGGGGGTCACCCTCACGACGCCTCCCCGGCTTCGCCTTGGAAGGGGCACCCTGCATTTCCCTGTAGTTTCAATCATCACCTTTTGGCGGAGTTTCCTTGTGGGGTGATGTTTAAAATATGGCAGAAGGGATCTCTTTTGAGGCTTTTAACTCCTCACTCGGCGTGTTGCTCGGTGTGTCCAGTGGTTTTCTCAACTTCTCAGCGACGCTCGAAGCGACCTGTGGGGTCCCGCAAGTTGAGACACAAGAGGCGGGGCAGTTGTGCAGACTGGGGTTGCCAAAGCGGCCAGTGTTCTTTGCATGTACTTTTATTTTATGCATGCCAGGCAGCCAAACTATTTTGTTCATTCTTGTCAAGAGTCGCATTTGGCGGCATCGTTTCAACTGCCTTTTGGTTTGGTTACTGTCGAGCGTGCCACTTGCTCGAGGGGCAAGAGTCGCTTTTGGTTGCATTTTTAAAGGTGCCCTTTCCTGCGTTGCATTGGGACATCGGCAAGGGAAGTTCACTGTGACTGCGCAAGGAAGTTCCCCCGGTTGACCCAACAAATTCATGAGATCAGCCAGCGCTGAAGTGCCGGGCCGTGCAGCTTCTCTTGCCCAAAGCTGGCCGAGAAAGGCAGGAGCGGAAAGTTGGGCGCATGGGTATGTTTCGAGCGCCCAGCTTATTGTCACGTGCAACCCAAACGAGTTAGCCTCTCGGCATTTTGGCTTCAACTATTGATTTGTGTTTACTTTTGGAGCACGGTTTCTGCCCCGGTTCTTGGACAAAGCGTTGATGCAACGGCAAGATGACGTTCGTTGGGACACTTCGACGAGGCTACAAATGCAACATGCCCGGTTTGTTGTTCTTTGGAATATTGTTTCTCGAATATACTCTTGAGAAGACGATATTCTTGGGAATCAAGACGTCTTTTTTGTTTTCTCAAGACAGGACTAGGACCAGGAAGATCATTCAAGTGGAAAGCAAGCAATTTGACAGTTTGTTTTGTTTGGCCTCAGTAAGTGAGGCAATTGTGTAAAGGAGAGGAAAGCTGAAGCGAGTGCACTAAGAAGCGAGAGATCAATTTGGCCAACTTAGGAAGCGAGTCACCGACTGGACCGGGGACTGGAAAAACGGTTTTGTGTTTTGGCCAATCAGCGAAGCAAACACCCGGACTCGGCGGCTTGGGGTCGAGCTTTTAATTGCCCGGCGGGTCCCGATGGTGCTTGAGGCCTTGAGCGAAGTGAGAGAGCTGGGAGGTGGGCTTCAATGAGTTCTTTGGTTTGTCCCAAACTGGGATTTGGAATACCCGTGCCCCAAATGGGGCATGGATGCTGAACACGGGATTTGAAATACCCCAAAAGTGGGACTTGGACCTTCAATGTCGGATTTAGAATACCACAAAATGGGACTTGCACCCATACAACAAGATTTAGAATCCCGTTGAAATAGGATTTCGACCCCCCAAGCGGGCGGTTTTACTTCAACACAACCAACCAAGAAGGGTGCCACTCAAAAGAAGGCACGCTCATGGTTCCCCGGTGTTGGCGGATCTAAACTTCAAAGAGTCGGCCTCTGCATTTTTTGGGGGTTCGTGATTTTTCAAGCAACTGGAACGTCTTTGCGAGGCAGGGTATTTTCTGCCAGGCCTGGCAGAGCAATGATGCTAGTCATTGACCATTATGGTGGTGGGAACCCAGGATTAATCAAACCCTGGCCTTTGGTTTAAATCAGGGGTGGCCCTTTTTGGAGGGAATCCTTGCCTCTTGGGAGAACATCTCTTTTCCCATGCTCTGTTGGGGAAGCACGTATTTTGCCCGTTGCTCATGCGAGGTCAGATCAACAATGAGTAAAGCTGTAAACATTTTGCGATTTTGAATATATCTGGTTGAATTTACGGGGTTTCCCTTGTTTCCTGCTTGCAATATTTGGGGCATCCACCGCATCTCCAGGGCTTGGACACTGTTGTCCTTGATGTGGCGACACGAGACGCAGCCGAGAAACCCATTGGTGCGGAAAACCGCTTCTGGTCATCTCATGTCTACAATTCTGCCCATGTATGGCGAGCTTATTGCATCGGGAGTAAAGCGAGCTCACCATGATGTCTATACTTGGGGATCCCTCATTTCAGGTTGTGGAATTATTGTGAAAATTGCAGATGTCTATAGTGGGACCTTGGTAAAGAAAGGAGTCTGTTTAATCCCTGATTGACTTATAGGAGGCGTCCCGTTTTGGAAGGCACTTTTTGCAACAACATCTACCTAAGTTTCCAACCGGAACATTAGTTTAAGATTTGCCACGCTAAGGCGAAAATTTGATTTCACAAATCAAAAAGTCGACAAGTTGATCGAGTCCTTACTATACAGACAACACCGGCGTGCTCTAACAGTCCACATTTGGCTGGCCCAGAATCGAAACGTCGACAAGTCGGAAAGTCAAAACGAAATCAGGAAAGTCCAGGCCAGAGCTCGGAAAGTCGAAGAGTCCGGAAAAAGTCTAAAAGTCTAAAAGTCTAGTAGGGGGGGCACCGGGCCCTTGATTTTTTTTAAATGTAGGCCCTGAGAGGCCTGCAGCTGAACACTACTGTGTGCAACCAACACGGAATTTACCTAGACACTTAAGATTTTTGTTTCACCTTGTCCAGGTCAAACAACACTTTTTTGGCTGTTAAAACAGTTTTTAGAAGGCTTGCTGGGGCGCCCAAGGAACTTTATCCCTTGAGAGGATCCGCAAGTAGAGGCCGAAAAGTCGACAAGTCAGGGTCGAAGTCCGAAAGGTCGAAAAGGCGGGCCCGAAAAGGCAAGAAGTCGGGCCGACAATCCGAACAGTCGAAAGTCGACAAGTCGAAAATAGTTTAAGTTTTTGAGTTCGAAAATCATATTTTCTCGCCCTGAACCTAGCAACGCTGCAGTGACAGTTTAGAAAAGATCCGGAGGCCCACTTTAATCACTTCTTGCCGCACCAGAGGACTCGCAATCAAAACCCTGGGTAAGTAGTTAAGTAATAGTCCCAGTCATAGGTGCGGAGATTTGCCCTCATTCCTTTCCATGGATTTGTTTAAATCATTTTTAGCACCTATTTTTTTAAAGCACCAGGGCTTGACTACTCAGAGGTATCCGCCTCGCCTCGCAACGATGCGCGGGCAAATTATGGCAGCAGTGCTGCTGTTCGCGTGGCCCTGAGAAGACAATGGGCCTTTCGGGATCTCCGGATGACTACCGCATGTTTTTACATGTTGAGGTTCACGAAACATCGGCCAGAACCGAAACCCTTGTTATTTGTGGCGGGGCTCTCCTTTGTCCTTTTAGGCGGTTCCCCTCTTCTGAGACTATCCACGTGGTTTCTGGGGTCGCTTGCGCAGATTTATTGCCGTTCTTTTCTTCATTTTTGGAGATTAGCGCCCATTCTAGATTTTGTCGGGTTGTTTGTCATTTGGTCAGTGTTATTTGGACGATCTGGGAGTCTGTAAAACCAACTAACCAATAACTGGCTTGTCCAACGCCTTTGCTGTGTTCGTTCAGTGGTGTCTGGATCCAGAGTAGCAGTTTAGCATACACTTGTGACATGTGCGTGAATCATCGGGAGCTCCACTTTCTTTAGCAGATCCCCATGAGGCCGAGCAAAGTGCATGTCATACAATTAGTACTTGAGCTTCTTTCGAGGGCACTTCCCCATGTTTGTTTCTTTTGAAAGTGGTATTTGATTCTTTGTCGGGGTCGATAAAACATCCCAACCTACAAAGAATGTATTTTTGACTCTGCGCCCGTAGTTTTGAATCTGCTTTCTCACTTGAGCAGCGCCAATACCCACTGGCGATTTCAAAATGGCGATCTATGCTTGGTTGCAGGAAGTTGGCAAGCAATCTCCAGGCCACAGCAGAACGTCCGCGCGATGCTCATGCGGCCCCGACGCTAGGCAAATTAATCCAAGTTGCCGATTCCGCGGTCACACGAGCTCACCCATGATAAAGGTTTCTCAATTGGGGTTTGCGAGTTATAGTAGTTGTGGGCAAATCGAAGTTATCAACTTCGCTCTTGGGTTTGCGACCAACAACTCCAAGGGTGCTTTCAGAGAAAGTCCCGCCCAGTTTCAAGGGTCCATCTAGAATGCCTCCATGTGTCTTCCTTTTGATGGCTGGAAGCAGACCGTTTAGTTTGGGAACTGCCAAGTCAACTTGAAACCAGTGGATCCGCACGGGAACTGCCGCGTTTTCCAACCGGGATGGCATTTTTGCCGTTTCCTCACTGCGGCTGATATTCATGTGAGGCTTCTGAGGGGATAAGCTGAGGATGGCAGCGCAGGTAGCGCATTTTGACTCGAAGCTCACCCACGACTAAGGGCCCTCACTTCCAGTTGAGAAAATCACTCATCGCCCTGGACTTTGGCCGACCCTATTGCTTTTCCTTTTGGCCTCGGGTGAGCAACAAGCGCCAAAAACCACACCGTTTCGGGCGATGAAAGGTGAGGGAGACGTTTGCAACCAGAAATATTAGGGCAAAAGCTGCCCCAAGTGTGCTTGTTGAACTGTTTGTGGGCTCCTCGAGCCAAACGACGGCTGCGGCAGAATCCGCGTGGCCTTGCGCCGCGCGGACTCTGCGGTGAACTCCACAAAAGCATAGGGCCTCCAACGCGAACGGCGAAAGGCCAGGGCCTGTTCCCGGTGACAGTGGCGTTGCCGGGAAAACCCTTGAACATGGCCCGTTCAATTAAACCAAACCTTGGGGTCACATTTTTCAGCGAGCGGCCAAGCCTGGGGCCTCGCGAAGAAGCCCACGCTGGACACGCGAGGCCCATGATTTTGACGGGTCAAGCAAGAGCAACACACAGATTGAAACATGAGCCAACAACAGAGCTCGTGTTGCTTTGTTTTTTGTTTGTTCCATCGCACACCAAACTGCTACTGTTTTTGCTTGCATTCTTTAATCAATTTTGGAAATCCCCAAGAAAGAACCCGTTGGGGATTTTCCATATTTTAGTTTATTGGGCCACCCTTGCTTCAATGTGTCGAAGCACCCTGTGTTTTAACCACCTATTTTGATTCCCCTGCTGACGGGCATGGTCCGCTTATTTTCCCTTGCCCTGTTCAACCTTTTTCAGCCGGTTTAGCTACCGTTTCCGCCGAGGCTCGTGCCCCTGCATGAGCTGCCCCTGCGCACCAAAGGAGAGAGCCGAAGGTGGTCCAAAGTCTGGGACCATGCCCATGGTGGAAAATCAAATTGCCCTCCTGCAAACCGCACGGAACTAACAAGAACCGCAATTCTTTTTGGGGATCTCGTCCTGGGGGACCAGTTCCGTTTTCGCTTTTGCGGCAAGACAAGAAAAATGGAGCTTGGAGGTTCTGGGAGTCTTTCTGGGACCCACGACCCACCCCACTCCCAGAGAGACCTTGGAACACCAAAAGGCCCGAAGTTGTTGGGTTTCTTTCACGGCTGATGTCTTCCGGGGCAACCTCCAAGCCACCAATCCAAGTAGGCTTCTCTAGAAAGTGGTGCGACCCCAGAGTAGTTTCCATTTCAACAACCAACACGCCCAATAAGGGTATGAGATTTAAAAAAAAAAAAATGAAAAAAAAAACAAAACAACAACAACAAGCTCAACTGTCAGGGTCACAAACCGCCTCCTGAAAGGCTGCAAAGGCCTTGCCCGTTGTGCAAACTGTGGACTGCCCTTGAAGCACCCAATGCGTCAATCATTGCTGCCCGTTCTGTGTAAGGCGAGGTCAACCAACAGATACCAACAGCCTTCCTTGCTAGTGCTCAACTCGTTTTTTGATGAACGTCTGCCATACAGCAAACTCGCTATGTCAGAGATTTGTTTAGAGGGTTCATTATGTGGTATTTGTTTCGGAGACTCCCTGCGAACGACTGGAGGCATTGAGAATACTGCTGGTGCCAAGCTGATCCAGCGGCCTACCCCATAGAGCTTGTAGATGTGGCGCATCCATGGTACCGGACCTGTTGGGCCTCCTAGCATGTTACTCATGTGGTTTGCTCCTGCTTCGTTACAGTGAATTATGGGATTCGACTTACAAAGCCAGTCACGGGTGACTGTCTAGCTGTTCCGGGCAAACAACCCAAGGCAAACATAGTAAGGGCTGCCTGGGTTCGTTGGATTTCTGGGTTTGGATCCATCAGGGATTCAAGTGCCAGTCAAAATCATTCTGCTGACTCTGCACCGAGCTTGCGGCGGCCAGTGACGTGAGACATGCCGTTCTCAACGGCCAAGCGCCGAGTCATTTTTCAGAACTGTTTCAACTCAATGCCTGGCCTCCTCACAAATGGTCCCGGCCACGGAAGCCAAACTGAAACCTACCACGGGGGTCTCCAGTTTCAGCAAGCACCCGAGTGTTGGCCTCCTTCTTTGAGTGCGTAGCACAGGGTTCTCAGTATTTCCCTTTGAGTTAGTTTGAACGTCACTGTTTGGGCCAATTTGGAAAGTGCGCTTCCTTTTGGGGGGGTGATGTTCGAATGGACACATGGGCCAATGCTGCCTACCTGGAAGACTGCCGCGCGCATCACGTCCCTCGTCCGACAGGACGCTTTGTAGTGGGCCAATCTGGCCGCCGGGCCGGGCCCCACAAGTTGACAAGTCGCGATCGCATGAGACGGGGTTCGTGTCGCAGGGGATGAGGGGGGCATGCCATGGACACTTAGAGGCATTGTGGTGCCAAAGCCTTAAAGATTGAATAGATGGTTCCAATCCTTCTATCTTTCGGTCTCTGGTCAGGCAATTGGGCCTTGTTGCTGACTTCCTGGTGACTTGCTGGCTTATTGGGTGACTTGAACGGATTCACTGGCACTGTGGGACGGCAACAAAGAAGGAACACCGCGTGAGTTAGCTCAGGTGATGCTGGCCTGTGTGAACTGGTATGGCGCATCCCAAAGGCGGGGCGCGAAAGACACCGCCCGCTTTTGCGTTTGGGCGTCCTTTTTTTCTTTTCGACAGCAATGCAAATGGGGAAAAAGAAGCCACCCACAATGAGGGAAGAGGGCCGATCTTTGGATTTGGGGCTGAGTTAAAGGGACAACAAAGCCCATTTTTGGAGGAGCACGGAAGCCAAAAGAACACCAACGCCCATTTGTGGGGTGCCATATCGACCAACCGAGTGGCGCTTGGCCAATCAGTTCGGTCCAGCAATTTGTGCAAGCAGCTGGGCTCGGGCCATGAAGCGTCCTTCACTTGGTGATTCCCATTCAGTCGGACGCCAAGCAAACAGCCAATGTTTGTGGAAACAGCTTGCGATTTCCTGCTGCCTCAGGCAGATGGTGAATAACGGCCTGGACACCCAGCCGATTCAGGCATTTTCTGACAGGACCCGTTGAATGCGAGCTCTGTTACGAGGAAAGAAAGAAGCAAACCTTGGAAAATATCCGCCCTCCAAATCACAAGAGTACTAAGAGACTTCCACAAAGCCTCATGTTTGCGCGATGAGACTCCTTTGATAATGTAGACTGCACATGGCGGATGGTCATACTATCCCCTTGTTCTTTGGAGGCCAGCATTCTACTGGTCTTTGGAGCACCCCTTTTGGGGCGAAGCACACAATGTGCTCGGAACTTATTTATTTCAGGAGAGGAGAACAAGTGGAAGGGGGCAGCTTGCCTGTAAGGTTCCAACGTGCTGTTGGTGGGAGGCTTCCCCCCTTGGGATTCTCCATGTTGAAGAACAGAGCCCTCGCTTCGTGATTGCATCCCGCCGAATGGATTGGAAGCCAGGGCAGGTACATGTGTTTTGGGGCTTGCCACTGAAGCTGCGGCCAAACAAGTCAAGCTGAGACCAACCCCACCAAAACCACCAGTTAGTTCCCCCTTTGCTTTGCTTGCAACCGCTGCCAAGAGCCGGACTCCTTTTCCTTATATACACACGTCGAAATGAGTCCAGTTCTCCACTTGTCAAAATTGACCCTTTGTCGTTTTCGACATGTGAGCTGACGATCTACCGCACTTTCCAATTGGCGCCCTAGTTTCCTACTTTGGACGCGCCCCTGACTCGAAGTTGGGCTCTCAATGCTTTTGACAGGATCGCCGCGTTGGGGTTCAACTGCGTGCGCTTGCCCTTCAGCCTAGTGGGGGCCTGAGTCTTGGGCAAAGTTTTGCGTGAACAACCAGCCCGGGCTCGGTACCCTTTAGGGAAACCAAACATGGTCTACACCATGAGAGAGAAAGGTTGGCCCAAGGAGATCGGTTGAGAAAAGGGTGGTTTAAGCCATGGTTTAAACGAGGGGTTGAACCGGCAACCCTGAACCTGGGCCCATTTTGTTTGCTAGCGGTATCAATCTCAGAGTCCAGCCTGCACGTGGACTTTGGGGTGGCAGCCTCTCCACTGCAGTGATCCGACGGTCAGCGAGCTCCTCGGTTTGAAACCCTTCCAGCGCTGTGTTGGTTCCATTCTCAAGACATTGTCAGATCTCAATCTCATGAAGTGGTGTGGCTTTGGACAAATGCTGAACAAAGCATAGGGGATCAGCCCTGATATTTTTCTTGCCAGACCGATACACACATTGTAGGCTAGAGACGGAACCTCGACCTCTCATCTTGATTTTGAAATGGGTTTTGGAATGGAGAACAAGCAGCAGGTTCCCGTTCCGGGGACATTCTACAGCTGTTGGGCATATGGGGCTTACTTTTCAGCACAGCTGACAGGAGATGGTGCTCCGGAACACCACGGTTCCGAACCCCGAGGCGTTGGGGCTGAAAGTCGGGCGTTCTGGGAAAGGTCGGAATCCCATTTTTTGCATTGGGTTTACAAGGCCAAACCGCGGGCTTCCAAATGAACGCCGGGTGAGAAAGGATTACAAGGTGGAAACAAGGCGGTAGAATTACCAAAGTATATTTGTTCGAATTTAGGGAATTGGCAAGGTTTCTCGCAGCAGGGCAATCATGACGTAACACCACTCAGAGCAGGTCTGAAATTGGATGCGCCCCTCCAAGTAGTGTTCGCCAAGTCTGTTACAATATGCCCGCGAGAATGACGATTCCTGTTTGCGAGAGGGCACAGCGGAGAGGACACAGCGCATTTTTTAGAGGATGTCACTTTAATGAGCCAAGAATTGCTCAACCTTCCACGGTTCGGGCGAACGAAATCGGAAACGAATGACAGATTCGTGGTTCAGACAGGGGCAGGTGCAGCGTGAAACGAGAACCAATCCCGGACCAGGGGTCGGAGCTAGAACTCAAAGCCGGGAAGGGAAGCTTAGGATCATTGCCGCGAAACGCCCACAACCCAATCATAGAACACGCGCAGAAAAGTTAAAACCTTTTCTGGGCAGTCAACTCCGCATTTGATCCAATGGGCTTTGGGTGTGCTTAGTCGGTTCACAAGGGTGCCCTTGACCTCAGGCCCTGCAAGGGACCCAGGAAATCGTCTAGTTGACCTTGACTTACCATGGTTTTGCGGATGAGCGTGGTTGATGTACTTGCAGCATTTAGCAAACACTGCTCACCAGTTCAGCTGGCGAATGTTGTACTCCTTGATTGACAGGTTGTTTTTGGAATTTTAGTTGAGATCCACAAAGTTCAAGTCACTTTTTCGCCAGCGAACTCAACACCACCCGTTGCTCAGGCGCTAGCTGCCAACCCCGAGCTGCTGGGGCTGTCGCCCATTCAGGCTGCGCGGGGGGGGGGGGGGGGCGCACAGGGCTTTGGTGGGAGTGAGGTTCAAGTACTGGACCCTTTGCTGGGCATGATTCGTATGATTTCTGCATTCCTCGTTGAAATTCGTAGCTGGAGTCCCCGAAAGCAAAGAGCAAGCCGATGTACTTGTGGGCTTAGACTGTTGTTGAGGCTGGATCACCAGGTGCGATCCAGACAGTTTCTGGTTGAACTGGCGTCTTTGCGTAGCAACTTGGGATGAGTACGTGGGGTGTCCTCTTTGTGGCCGGACAGATTTCAACGGGGGGAGGCCTCGCCCATGACTGGGTTCCCTCCGAATTTATGTTGTATGTTTTTGAGTATGAGTTTGTTCACTTGTAGAGTCTGCACCTCCTTTTGTTTCTCTAGGGTACCAGCTCAAACACGACACACCCAACTAGGGGAACTCTAAAAATGGTGCTCTCCTTTGATTTCTTAAAAGGGTTGCCAATCCTCCTCTAAAAGAGATATACGGTGGGGAGAAGCTTTCCCAAACCGCCCGCAGTCCGCTTAGGTCTTCGATAAGACGGTGGAGGCACCGACAATCAGCGAGCAGATGGGATCAGGAGGATTGCGCTCCCTCAATGGGTTTGGGCAACCAATTGTTATTCATCCGAGGGCCTTTCAGTGACTGGCGCAGTCGCGGAGGTCCCTGGTGCGATCAGGTTTGCTTTATTTTGAGGCTTCTTTTCTGGGACGGTTCCTTGGAGACACCCTCCCGGCGATCCAGAAGGCCACTGCACATGGACCTAATCGAACATAAGAAAGTCACCCACGATTTGGAGGGGGCGGGGGTCCTACTTTTGATTGGTGATGTTCCATCTTCCAGAGTTACGCGGGGTGGTTTGAAATGGGGGCCAACCGGAAAGCGCTGTGTTGATGAGTCCCCCTATTTTGAGACAGACCGTGACAGACCCGTGAAGCCACAAATTGTGCACAGTTTCAACACCCTTGCAAACGGTTGGTGGACATACGCAACAGAAACAGGGTGTGCTAATTTGCCCTTGTGCACCAAGCTTTTGGGGCCGTGTGATTAAGCCTCAGCCATCTATACTTCGGATGTTCAAGGGGAGAATCGTGCTAGTCAGAGGAATCCACCGTAGGTGGAGCAATCACCGCGAAGGGAACTATCTCTTGGCGCTTCAATTGTTTTCGTGCCCCGCCATTGTGGAAATCTGCCAAACGAGTCCTATCCGACCTTATTGCACCCTTTCGGTCTTATTGGGCACCTTGGGGCCTTGACAGCCAAGGAACCTTAGACAGGATCATCGCATCGGACGCCAGCGCACAGTGCAGGCGCTGACAAAGGCGGGGCTCCTGGTGGTCCTGAACAATCACGTCTCCTCTGCGGGCTGGCGCTCTCCTCAAGCAGAATGGCGCGGTCGTTTTCAGGGCTTTATTGGGGTTGGTAGGAACACCATGAGGGTCCCCCCATCTGGAGACGTATCCAATTTCGCCAGTCCATTGTTTGTTTGAGAGGACATGGGGGAACAACCCAAATTTCCTTGAACAATCTGGGGAATTTGGGGCCATATCCAAATTTCCCACTGCCTTCGCCGGGAACCATAAATTTCGACCCGGGCCTTGCATGGAAACGGTGAGTTTGTCCTGTTCTCAAACGTGTCCGAAGCGTTGAAAGCTTCAAGCGACAGAAGCGGCTGAATCACTTTCAAGTTTCAAATAGAAGTTAGGCAAATAGTTGCTTTAAAGGCGTCTCTCTTGGCCACCCGCGTGGCCGGCACAATCACTTTGGCCTCAAGACCCTCTTTTTGCGGTCGCGAATGTGAAGCACTGGAGCTCCTTCCAAGGTAGTGGATGCTAATTTGCGCCTAGGTGCTGCAGTGGCAGCGATGGGGAGGGGTTGTGGTACACGGAGAGGCAGGGATCAGATTGTCAGATCGGATGGGGCCTGATTTGCAGTCCCTTCTTTACGGCTTGCTTTGTTGGGGTGTTGGGACTGCAAATTTCGAGGTGTTGATGACAAGAGGGGGCGGGGGGGTTGGCTTCAGTTGCTTCTTGGGTTCCTTCAAGATCCCAAAGAGGAGAACCTCGAGCAACACCAAAGAGAGGACCCTCATGATGGGCATGGGGACGAATCCCAAGGTGGGCTGACTATTTTGGGGCGTTCTGAGGACGTTTCATTTGTGCAGTTTCTCTTCACTCACGGCATGGCATGCGGCTGGGAAAAAGCTTGATTTGGCTGCGTCTAGCTAGGTACTCCAACTCATTTCCTTTGGTCTTCCTCCTTTGCTTCCATTGTCTTCCCTCGCGCTTTCCTTTTGTTTTCCTTACCCTCCCGCCAATGAACAGAGAACCTGACGGGGGGGGTCCTGGAAGACCATTTTCTTTTTAAAGGGACCCCCGAACGTCGGGTTCCATGTTACTCGGCGGGAGGGTACGTGTTTCTGTTTGTGTTTCCCTTAGCTGTGTCCCATTTCTTTAGCCGCCCCAAGCTACGGCGCGAGGTTCTCGGAGGAGGACTGGCTGCGGGGGCTGCGACTCATGACGAGGAGGCCAGTTGAAGGACTCCCGCTTCGGATTCATGCGGAGGACCCCAGTCACAGGGACGACCCCGCCCCAAACGGAACGAACAAGTCATTTCCGCACTTTTAAAGGGGACCACCCCTGAAGAGACAGTCCTCCCGATTCTGAACAGGGCTCCTCGAAAGCAATGTGGACAACTTCGAGGCGCTCTTCGATGAGGTGACTAATTTGGCACCGTTTTCAGCAGACACCTTTTCCACCGCGCGGAGTAAAGTTCAAGCGAAGAAGGAAAGAACCCATGCTCACCAACCTGTTTGCCCTCGGACCCGATTGAGTTTGCTTCATTTTTCCTTGTACTCAGCAACTTTTTGGGCCTAACAAGTCTGGCCAACGAGGATTTGCTTCTAAAATGGGTCCGCCCAAAATGGGCGGCCTCCTTGTGATGTTTGCGTACAACCGAAAAGGTGTATGTGCAAAAAAGACACCCAGAAGCTGCAAGGTTTATGCGGATTCCGGAAAAGGAGGCTCGGTCTATCGCATCTCAGACTTAGACTCTTGTTTGGGGAGAAAGGGCCGTTGGGTGCTGCCAACCTTCAAAGCCCTACCATGACAGCTGAGCTAAGTTCCAGGCCATCGTACCCTTTGACTTTGCTTGGCCTAGATCTATGGAGCTTGGGAATGCCTTCCCCCTCTCTTGCGAAGCTTGAGAGCTTGAGAAATGTAGTTCTTGTTTGGCAGCTATTTCAGCCTAGCATACGCAGGAACCCGCTTTTGTTGTCACATTGTTCAAAAGCCAGCGGTGGGGAGACTAACACGAGCCGCAATCTTCGGGCATCATGGTTACCTGTAAAACAGCATCATTCATCCTAGAAGGGGTCTCTTTGACTTTGTCAAATCATAGAGCACATTTGTTTTTATTATTTCTTGTTCGCCACTTTTATTTTCTCTCTTTTTCCGGCTTTTTGTTTTCTGTGTCATGTTAAGGTTAAAATTCAAAGGGGGATGCACAGTGAAATCCCCATTTGGTTGGCCCGGTAAGGGGGAAAAGCCAAAAGCGAAGAACTCACCTCGCGCAGGTACAAGGGCGACGCGCGTGTCATGGGCTTCGACCTAAGGCTCGGAGATTCGTTGAGACTGGACGGGAGCCCTTGGTCTCTTCCTGAGTTGCTGGACTGGGTCCGCAAGCGACATCGAAATCACATTCTTGACCACTAGTAGCCGGGCCTCGCGACTGCAAGTCCGTCAGCAACAAGTTGCTTACACCTAGCCTCTCCTGGGATTCCCAAAACGACACATGCGTGAATCACGTGGATTTAAAGCCATGTTTAGTTTTTAAATGTGAGTCAAGTCTCCCTGGATTGTTTGCACGACAATGTATGCAAAGCAACCGTGTGTATATCAGTTTGTTTTTGGATTGTTCCTCCCGTTCCAGGAACGAGGTCCGAGCAGACGGGTGCCGGCCTCAGGCCGTGTTCTTTGTGCGGCTTGCGTTTGGGAAAAGCCCGCTTCCAGGGTTGCTCCGAGCCGTTCTTGAAGGATGACCAAACCTGAAGGGTAGAACATTGGTACTGGGTCCTTTTGTTTTGTATTTAGCCCTAAAGAGTCTTGAGGTTCAAAACCCTGGCAACGGAGATGCTGACCTCTCCAATGGAGGGTCCAACGCGGGAAACCATGTTCTCCTTGTTGCGCCTGGTCTCCTTGTTTCCCTTGCTTTCCGCATTTCCCTTGCTTCCCTTGTTTAGCCTGGTTAGAAACCATTGTTCCATCCCATGACAGGGACTCTGGAGCAACCCCTCAAAACCCCCCCCCCCCCCCATATGTCCTGGGTCACCTTTTTGGTTTGAACACATACCCATTTTGGGGACTCCACCGTGGGGGAAACCATGGCAAGCATCGGTGAATATAACTCAGCGAGATTTCTATGGGCTTCTACAAATCCAGCCTTGGTTGAACATGAAGGGTCCTCTATGATAGACATCCTCTTTGAGGGGTTACCTATGGGTTATCTTTGTTTCCTGAAACACGGGCGCAAAAGGATTTCGCCCATAAAGCCTGCCTTCCCTTCGAATGACCAAAGACCTCGCCCTCTTTGGAGTCCCAGATGGCAGAGAAACCATGGCCCTTTGCAGGGAAACAACATGAAGCAGCCCATTGTTTGAACAAGCTCTGGTCTTTTTCCCCTCAAAGGAACCATGCCGAGAACCCACAAACTCCGTGTTTGTACGTCCCAGTCAATGGGTTCTAAAGTCGTGGTCAGGGTTTATGCACCTGGCACATTTTTGCCACGGCGACCTCTTTTTTTCACCCCCCCACCCCCCCCACCCCCCACCCCCCACCCCCCCACCCCCCACCCCCCACCCCCCCCCCCCACCCCCCCACCCCCCCACCCCCACCACCACCCCCCCAACCCCCCACCCCCCCACCCCCCAACCCGTTCTCTTAGGAGTCAAGGCCTCACGGTCCAAGGATCCGCCTGCCCACCTGGGGCTCCGGGGACCCGTGGACGGATTGGGCCATCGCCGCGGTGAAGGGCGCCCGCGAGGCCAGCGGAGAGTCGACCCAGCCTGCCGAGCCACTCGCCCTTGGAGGGCTCTCTGATTTCAGAGAGGTGCCCTGGAGTTTGTTTCTCCACGGCGCAACAGGCGAGAGGGTCGCTTTGATCTGGTGTTCATAGATTCTGGTTTGAAAACTGGGCTTATCTTCCAAGTCGTTTCCATTTGACAGTTGAGAAGCTTGCAGAGGTACCCTACGTTGCCATGGAACCCGACCCCATGAAAAGCCCCTTTCGGTGAGTCGGGGTGGTGCCGCCAGTTGTTCTCCACATCAAGAGACTGGAAATCGACTTTAGTTGGAGCCTTTGCTGGGCAAAGTTCAATGAGCCCAGACAAGCCAACCCTGCGGATCTGGCGGAACACTGCCGCGTATTAATCCACCAGGTTTATTGGGACAACATGAAATGGAACCGTGAAACCAGACTCCTTGGAGTTTAGGTGTCACGTCGGTCCCGAAAAGGGTCCTCATGTTAGCAACCATTTTGTTGTGTTCAAGCCTGGGATCAAGTGCAAAGTTGGTTGCATTCGGAGCCGGATGGATCAATGGACCCCTTCCCATTATTCTTTGATGCGATGATTCAGCCTGTGACTTTTTCAATCATGCATTCCACCCCCCCCACCCCCACCCCACAAACTAGCAACACAAAATGTGCGTTGTTTTTTTGACCGACCCAGTTTCAACCATCATTTTGCAACAACCCGCACCTGGTTTGGCTGACATATCCAGTCGCCTCTGGTCAATTTGGGGTTCTTGGCATGGGTTCCGAGTTCAAGATTGAAGAGGAACCGGGATCTGGCTGTCTCTCACACACACACACACACACACACACACATTTCGCCCAACTCTGGACAACATCCTAATTTTCCCATGTCCATTTGAGCGAAAAGAGTGCATACGTTGGGACCCATGGCCGACATGGCGCGTTCTCCAGCCACGCACAGCCGACCAGCGACAGGTGTTGCGGGAGCGCCCTGATCTCCTCATTGTTGTCTCAGGCGCAAGGGCCGAGGGTGGCTGCACTCTTTCCCCCGCTCCCAAATTAGTATGTGAGCAACGGTCAGTATTTGTCGACATCTAGCATCGGGCGTTGCACGCACGCACAAAACAGAAACATCAGGATATGCACCGTTTTTGATGTCATTGGGAACACCATGACTTTTGACTGTGGCTCATGTGTTAGAACCAGACCCCACTTTTCAAGATCATGTTGGAGAAGCTATTCTTATATTGTGCAAAGAACACGCCATTCAAGAACTCATTTGGACGGGTCTCTGGTGTTGACGCATACCTCTAACCTTTGTGGGTGCGTTTTGAGTGCCTTATCTGGAGGGAACAAGGGTGCATACGGTTCATTACTCGTCCCTTTTTCGGGGTTCGCTAGCTCCCCTCACACCACCATGCAATGTGAACTCCACATGGCAAGACGCTGGTAGATTTTGACCGGGGCCACACTAGCCAGAATCCGATTATTAGTTGAAACACCCCCCCAGGGAAAAGGTTTAAGGGAAGTCTTGTGCCAAGGGGCATGGTTCTAAGTGTGCGTTCCCCATTATTTGCACCTTTGTTTCAATCGTGGAGGCTGCGCAACAATCAGGGTATGTGTCGAACAAGGGGAACCGCCCAAAATGGTGTTTGTTTACCTTGTGGTTTCCCTGCAAAATCGAGGTGAACCGCGTACCAACATCAGAAACAAACAAACAAACAAACAAACAAGCAAGCAAGCAAGCAAGCAAGCAATCAATCAATCAATCAATCAATCAATCAATCAATCAATCAATCAATCAATCAAGCAATGCAGCCAAGCAAGCAGCCAAACAAATAAAACAAACAAAACAATCAAACAAGCAAACAGCACCAACAGGCAAGCACACGAACATACAAACACACAAACACGCACACACACACACAAGCACAGAAACACACAAGCACACAAGCACACAAGCACAGAAACACAGAAATACAGAAAGACAGAAGCACACAAACACACAAGCACAAACACACAGACACAAACACAGAAGCACAGAAGCACACAAGCACAGAAACACACAAGCACACAAGCACACAAGCACAGAAACACAGAAATACAGAAAGACAGAAGCACACAAACACACAAGCACAAACACACAGACACAAACACAGAAGCACAGAAGCACACAAGCACAGAAACACCGACATACACAAACACACAAACACGCACACACACACACACCCACGTATACATGCGGATCGCTGAGGCATTCACTTCGGCATGCGCTTGTCTGAAGTGCCCAGCCGCCCTGTCCACGAGGAGGCAAGGCGTGGTATTGCGTGGGACTCAAAGTGAGAACCCGAGGAACATGGAGCTGAAACGGGTTCCAAAAGGGGTGCCAGTGTCCTGATGCCTCCACCATTTGGGCGTGCATCAAAACGAGAATGGTTGGGAACAAGGGAGCCAGCAAAGCAGTGATGCCGGCGTTTGCCGATCACTTGAGTTCCAACATGGTCTGTGAGTAGCGAAAGGAGTTCTTGGAAGGCTGACCCCCAACCATTCTTCCATTCAGGCACCCCCCAACTTTGTCAATCTCTGCCCTTTAGTTATGCTGTCAAAACGACTCGCTTCGAGGGATGATTTGAGTTCAATCCTTCTGCCCACCCCCCATTTGTTTTGGAATATGTTCCATTCAAACCGCAGCTTCTGCTTGCCATTCTCCCAAAAGTTATTCCATTCTCCCGAAATTCATTGCGAAGGGGTTCTTCCGGTAAAATCGTCCGCCTTATCGCGCAGCAAGATACACGAGATAAAATGCAGAGCAAGATGCGCGAGAGCCCATGCATCGCAAGAGACGCGAGGGCACATGTCGAGCGCACCTGCACAGAACATGCACAAGAGCATGTGCATGCATCGATCAGTGCAAACCCAGGGCAAGATGCACATAGTAAGAGACGCGAGCACGCCCATGAGCAAACTCACAAGGGCACACCCACTTGAGCAAGCTCACACGAGCGCGCTTGCGCCAGCAAACTCGCGCGAGCAAACTCACATGAACACACTTGCGCGAGCAAACTCGACAAGCACACTTGCACAAGAAAGCGGGCAGGAGCAAACTCGCGCGAGCGCACTTGCGCGAGAAGACTTGCGTATGATATTGAATCATTCTTTGCGGCGGCGCGATGGGACAAAACCGAACCCACTCCGCGAAAAGGAAGCTCTGCTGGGATTGGCGTTGTCGGTGCGCAAAAGCTGAGGGTTTTTCTACTTTTGGATTTGCGCGTGCAACCATCTGCGGGGATGGGGCGTGGTCGATGTGCAAAGCGAGGGCTTTTCTACTTGTTGAGGCGCGATGTGCAAAACCTGGAGTGCTTTGCAACTCTTGGAGGTACGGCCCTTTGCATTGAGAACGACGCGCGTAAAATAACTGGACAGAGCAGCTTGCAGAGAGATAGCTTCTGGTCGTATCATGCCCTTTTTGGTCGCCAACCGAAACCATCTTGGCAGGTGCCTGAGCTGCGAAACCGTACGGCGCGGGAGCTCGAAATGGGGCTTGCGGGTTGGAGAATGGTCATTTCAGTCGTCAAGGGAGCCCGGGTAGATGAAGGCTCCCAACCAAAATTTGTAAGTGTGGGAGAATTCCCTTGTCAACATCTGCGGGTTCTCTTGCCAATCTGCTCGATATGAGTAGGAGAGGCATGAACTTCAGCAAGCCCTTTGGGGTCAATTACTCAAAATGTATTGTAAAAAGACCATAGATCATCAAAGACGTTTAGACAGTATGTTTGAGGGGTGTGGCTGAGGGGTGGTTGTTTGTTTGTTTGTTTGTTTGCTTGCTTGTTTGTTTGTTTGCTTGTTTGTTTGTTTGTTTGTGGGTGGGTGCGTGCGTGCGCGCGCGCGCGCGCGCGTGCGTGCGCGCGTGCGTCGTTGGCGCGTGCGTGCGTGCGTGCGTGCGTGCGCGCGTGCGTGTGTGTGTGTGTGTGTGTGTGTGTGTGTGTGTGTGTGTGTGTGTGTGTGTGTGTGTGTGTGTGTGTGTGTGTGTGTGTGTGTGTGTGTGTGTGTGTGTGTGTGTGTGTGTGTGTGATTGTGTGTGTGATTGTGTGTGTGTGTGTGTTTGTGTTTGTGTGTGTGTGTGTTTGTTTGTGTGTGCCTCTGTGTGTCTGTGTGTGTTTGTGCGTGTGGTTGTGTGAGAGAGAGAGAGAGAAAGAGAGAAGGAGACTCCAGGGTCCCTTGAAGGACGCGAGCTGAGTCCAGTCAAGAAATCACCCAACTGCAAGCTGATTTGGAGGACGGCTTGGATCGGATGTATTCTGATCATCGGGTACGCCAAAGCCCACACAGGCTGAATCCACTATTTTGCACCTTGTTCGCATGTATTGGAATGCCTCCCGCATTGAGAACCCAAAAGTCGAAATGGGCCAGGTTTGTGGTGGGCGGTGCTGCTGCCGCTGATAGCTTGAGTTTCGGTCCTTAACCGCAACCTCGCCCCAAGATTGTACTGGGGAGGGGGGGTTTGGGTTTATATCTGAAACTAGCATGGACGCTGAAATGTCAGTGTCTCGTCCAGGACCCCTCTTCGTTCTTTCATGGTAGAAACAAAACACGGATTTGCGGCCGCAACGATCTGAGGTGTACACCACGCATTTTTACTACGGCTGGTCCTTCGACATGATGGCCTTTGCCGCTCGGTGGCGTTTGTGGTGACAAAATCAGGTTCTGAAAGCCTGTACCTTCCCTTCCCATTTTCGGCACCCCCATCACAGTTCCAGTTCAGGTGGCGGTGACTTGTTGCCATGTGCTTTTTGAACAGAGCACCAAATCCAACCTCATCACCAAAACTCAGCGGCGTTTGTTTGGTTGAATGCATGAAATTTGGGGGGTAATACAGGGATGCTCATGGTGGCCCTTTTGGTTCAACGTTCCACACTTGTGTTGTTGAGGGTCTTCCATGTTGGTGAGCCAAACATGTATGCCGTATGCCTGAATTCAGCGCGATTCCGTAGGTAGACACGTCCCTAGCGACCAACTATGGCGATCAATCCCAGCACCGAATGGCAGCAGCTCAGTTCTGCTTTTTCCTTCAGAACCCCCGCAGTTTGGACTTACTAAATGTCCTGCAGACTGCCCTCTCTTGGCGGTTTTAAATACCACATTTTGGGCCGATTAAATACTGGGGGGGGGGAATTATAAATGAACCCGGCACTCCCCTGCCTCCTTTCAAGTCCACTCTGGGAAGTGCGAGGTGAATTCCTGGTCAACTTGTGTAGCTCAAAGCCGCTTGCGAACTGTGCGACTCTTTGGGAAAGCATGTCACAGTGTGGGGCGAAGCTCCTAATCTGTGTGTTGAGCAATCGGACAAATCAAATTTCCAGGAGCAGGCTGGCTGCCAATTGACGTGAGCCAACATCAAACCAAGATGATTCTTCTGTTTTTTGTTCTGCTGTATACGCTCATTGCACGACATAACTTAATAACATTACATTGCACTACGCTACACTTCACTACTTACATTACATTACATTGCATTGCATTGCATTACATTAAACTACATACCATGCATATCAGACAGACAGACAGACAGAGACAGAGACAGAGACAGAGACAGAGACAGAGACAGAGACAGAGACACAGGCACAGACACAGACACAGACACAGACACAGACACAGACACAGACACAGACACAGACACAGACACAGACACAGACACAGACACAGACACAGACACAGACACAGACACAGACACAGAGACAGAGACAGAGACAGAGACAGAGACACAGACACAGACACAGACACAGACACAGACACAGACACAGACACAGACACAGACACAGACACAGACACAGAGACAGAGACAGAGACAGACACAGACACAGACACAGACACAGACACAGACACAGACACAGACACAGACACAGACACAGACACAGACACAGAGACAGAGACAGAGACAGAGACAGAGACAGAGACAGAGACAGAGACAGACACAGACACAGACACAGACACAGACACAGACATAGACAGAGACACACACACACACACAGAGACAGACAGACAGACGCTGACAGGCAGAAAGACAGCCAGACAGACAGCCAGCCAGCCAGCCAGCCAGACACAGGCAGGCAGGCAGGCAGACAGACAGACAGACAGGAAGACAGGCAGACAGCCAGACAGACAGCCAGCCAGCCCGCCAGACACAGGCAGGCAGACAGACTGACAGGAAGACAGGCAAACAGACGGACAGACAGACAGACAGACAGACCGACAAACCGACACACAGAAAGACAGGCATACAGACATACATACAGGCATACAGACATACAGGCAGGCAGACAGACAGAGACAGACAGACAGACCGACAAACCGATAGACAGACGGACGGACGGACGGACGGACGGACGGACGGAGAGACACAGACAGACACAGACAGAGACAGACAGAGACAGACGCAGAGACAGACACAGAGACAGACACAGAGAGAGAGACAGAGACAGAGACAGAGACAGAGGCAGAGACAGACAGCGACCACACAGAGACAGAGACAGACAGAGACAGACAGAGACAGACAGATAGAGACAGAGACATATGCATGCATGCATACACACATACAGATACGGATAGATACAGATCCACATGCACATACGCATACGCTGCATGCACATACACGGACACATACATGTGCACATACATGTATACATCTACGTATACACACATGCACACATACTCATACATAAAATGCATACACAGATAAACATGTATATATACATATGTTACATATCATATATACATACATATGCACAACACTCTTATACGTATAGAAATAGCTGTTGAGGCCAATTTCGTAAGAGCATTTATTGGCGGGTGATATTTTCCAGGAGAAGTATAGGGAGCCTGCTTCTTTGTCGAGCGGGCTGTTTGGGTTGGCTCGAATCGTATTTTGTGGGTGTGAGCCAAGAGTTACGATCAGAATCTCCGCTAAACATCCTTTTTCAGGGACCCAAACCGCCCTCCAAAGACCTTCACGGCTGCGGGGGTCTTTGGATGGGGGTGATTTCTAGGGTCCCGATTTTTTCGGGCAGAGTACGGACGTTTTCGGGTACTGCAAAGCCATTCGCAAGAATCCAACTGGTTGGGGGCTAAAGCGGTCGCCTTCCCGGCTCATGGATTTGCATGGGTTCCATCATTGAAGCCATCCACCACGTTTTCCCTGCACTGCTCCCAGCAATGTGCTTTGCACTTTGTTGTTCGTTCTCTTCCCGGTTCAACACACAAAGCAAGCTCTTCCCGGTTCAACACACAAAGCAAGCATGCCTTTTAGCGCCATAGCAATCTTCCATTTGCTGAAGCTACATTGACTTTCTACCACGCACAATAGCCTATGGACCACAGCAATATTCCATTTGTTCAAGAAAACTCGGAAGGTGCCCATATCGGTTTTTACGGGACCAGTCGCCCTTACTGGCGCGGGAGGTAATTCTGCGGTTTTGGGTGGAAAGTGTCGCAACGACTCGGCTTCTTTCTGAGGTCACAGACATGTTTTGCTTTCAAACATCACAGAACATGGAAAAGAGACTCACTCCGTGTGTTTGAAGGAGCGGCACAAGGCGAGGGAGTACACCCTGGGGGGAAAGGAAGTTTTTGATTCAGTGATTGCAAGGCGAGCCATAGCAACCTAATAGGGTCTGACCTTCCCATGGCTCCCTTCGCATTGGCTCTGAGGACATGCTCGCGCGCCACATCCCGGTGCTGCCCGGGGCCCGGCGCTTCGGAGTTCTGGGTCCCGTGCAGGGGTTGCATGTGGAGGGACCCGTGGTCGCAACAGTCGTTTCCCTTAGAACCAGCGGACCAGGGCTCTTTAGTTTCGGGTCACTTTGAGGAATTATGAGTGTCTCACTAACATGCACAGTGCCACTGCGGGGACTGGGACGGCACATGGGAATATTTGATATGTTTTGATGGAGGACACCAGGGATTTGCCTATTTTACGGCAAGCTATCCGGGATACATGAGCTTTGCTGGGGGGGGGGGGGGGAGCTGTTGTTTCCCGGCTTGGGAATTGTAGTAAGAGTTGGTGGGCGACATCATCTCCATGCAACTGGCCTCTCTCTCTTTCTCTCTCTCTCTCTCTCTCTCTCTCTTTCTCTCTGTCTTTCTCTCTCTCTCTCTTTCTTTCTTTCTTTCTTTCTTTCATTCTTTTTTTTGTGTCTTTCTTTCTTTCTTTCTTTCTTTCTTTCTCTGTCTCTCTCTCTCTCTCTCTCTTTCACTGGCTCTCTGTTTGTCTCTCTCTCTCTCTATGTGGAAGTATCTGGAATTGCAGAGTTAAAACACACCCCGACAGCACAGGTCATTTTAAGGTTTGTATGGATGGGACATTCCACACCAAGCATAGGGGCAGCTTGTAGTTATCCGCATGCTTTGTGCAGTTAGGCGGCCATTAAAGCGTCTCTTCACCTTGCTTGTTTGCACGCGTGAGCTTCCGAGAACAAAAGCCTGGCTCCTTCACTTGTTCAGTGTTGGACTTCAAGTACTTTGTAAGTTTGGGTTTGGGAAGCCATTTTGGGGAAACCACTGGCACCTTGTGGAAGACTCTTTTCTTTTGGGTTTCTGTGCATCCTCCAGAGGATATGCTTCACCTGCTGGCTGTGGTTCCTGCTGGCCGCGGACCGCTCAGCTCGCGCGGCTCGTGCACCGGGCCCGCGCCAGTCCGAGGTGGGCGCCTCGCGTGGATCAAGGGGTGCTATCCCAAGTAACGAGCTCACCGATTCGTTGGCAAAACGAGCAGAACGCCATCCTTTGGGTTGAACATGAAAGCCAGGGTTGCGGGTTCCTCCAGCCCGGTGTTTCGGAAGTTCACCGTCCGAGACCTTTGGAAAGGGGCTCACTCCCGCCTTGAGGCTCAATTTTGTTTGAATGGGAAAGAAGAGGAAGCTGAAGAACACTTCTCTTGGCCATTTTGCAGCAGGAAAAGCCACGCCCTGTTTGATGGTACCCCTTTTTGTGTTGTTTTAGAGGTTCCTAATGGGATTTGGAGACAAGCCCAAGTATTTACCCTGGAGAAGATGCTTACCAAAAATTCTCCGAGCGTCCATCTACACCAGGCAAGACCCAGTGTAGACAGATGCCCTGCTTTGACAATCATTGGAAGCCGTTTTGGAAGACCGCAAACGGCCTTCTCTGTTTCATTTGTTGGTAAGTGAGTATACAGAGACTACGGTAAGCATCCTCTTGAGCATTGGCTTCGTTTCAGGATTTGACTTCTGCCAGGAGGTTCCGAACCCATCCTCGGGTGTTTGCAACACCCCTTTGCAAGCATGAGTCAATGTCCCATGGCTCAATTTGATCCGCCACGAAACGTACTCTGCGAAGTGAGCTGTAGGGGCCTAGAAGAAGCCAATGATAAGCCGCAAACAAGGCCTATTTTAGGGTTTAAGAGGTGATCCTCCCTTGTAGTCCTATTGGGGTCAATCATAAGTTGACAATACCATACATCCACACCCGAAGGTCCCTTTCGATGTGAACCCTTTGAAGGTTTATGCATTGTATCTGTGATTCCATCACGTATGCTGACACCGGCTGAATGAACCCCAGTGTTTGATGAATGGAGGGCTGTGTCAACAAAGGCCGCGTCCTGACTTTTTGCTGGGAACCCCCCCCCCCCCCCCTTAGTCCATCAGGTGGTTTTTTGCAGTCGACATTCAGGATCCAATACCTGTTCACACCATAGCAACGCGAGCCTTGGAAATGGAAGGGCAGTTTTCAACACTAGAGAACCATGCCCAAGACCCAGCTGTATTTGCGTCTGTGGTTCAAAGCATTTCATTTGGATCGTTATATGGACATAAGCAGTAGTTCCTTTAGGGCTGATGTTTCCCTGAACATGTCCCAATGGAAGTCCCCTGGGCCGTCATGTTTCGAAGGACAACAGTGGCAGGTTTAGCTACATGGTAGCTACCTGGGGGAAGCTACATGGTTCCTGGCGGGGTAGCTGCATGGTTCCTGGAGGGATAGCTACATGGTTCCTGGAGGTAGCTACATGGTAAGCTACATGGGAGCCAATCAAAGGACTTCCAACCGCCAGCCGTCGGCCTTCGTCGACCAAAACGGACGCCAGGCGAGCCCAGGCTGGGAGCTGTGCGCAGCGGCTGCGCTGCTCGCGCTGCAGGCGGAGCGAAAGAGGAGGTCTTTGGGCGGGCGCCCAAAGCCCGGGTTTGTGTTCTTGTTGAGGGTACCATATTTTTAAAGAGAAGCCAACAAAGACTCAAACCACATGTTTTTTTTTGGGTATTTTGACGCCTACCCTTAAAGCAGTTGCGTGCATGTTGTGTTCTCCAGATTTCTTCTCAGCGTATTGAGGGGCTCTCAAATATTATTGTGTTTTCTGGGCCCGGTTCTTTCCCTTGACCACCAAAATGGAGGGTAAGGGGCCAGTACAGCGGTGTCATGTTGAGGTGTTCTCTCAGATGACGTTTTTGGGTCGTTTCAACATCACCGTGAAGGATGGTGCTTTTGGAGACTCAGAAATAAGTCACAAGTGGTAATGTTCCAAAGTATCCTCAACAGGGATGCATTGTGTCCAGTTGTTTTCCGCACTTGCAGCCCAGTCTTTTAGGAAGGCTCCAGAGGGTTCCATGTCTTTTCCTGTCTCGTTAAAGATGCCAGCTTGTTGGCCAACTTTGAGGGAGTGTTCAGATGGGATGATGCTTAAAGGGAGGTGTGGCTGGCTGAGCTCATGTGCTGCTTGGGGGCAATCATCATGATGCGTTTTCGAGCGGGAGTCCTGATTGCGAGAAATAGATTGCTTAAAAGCAAGCTGCCGAAGTGACTAACCACCGGGGCAAACTGAAAATCGGCATTGGGCAGATGCAACTTGTTCAGATCGTGCAAGTGTCGGCCGGTTGAGCGGACCCTACTGTGCAAAGTCAGAGTATAAGGTTGTCATTTGACGGAAGCAAGGCAACCGATAGGATGATTTGGAATTACAACAGGGTCTAACTCCAATCATAAACGAAGTCTGACGAAATCTGCGGGAGCAGTTTCCAAAATGGTGAAGCCGACAGCCACTATATATCTGAAGGAGAAACAAGCGAGCAACAGGAACAACATGAAAGGTTCCAAATTGATGATCCAACAAGTTAGGGGACACTTGTTTTTTGTTGTTTGTTTTGTTTTAGAACTAAACAATATATAAAAATAAGCAAAATAGAAATAAACATAAAATAAAATAAAATACATAAACATAAATACACATAATATAAAATATAAACTAAATAAATAAAGGCGGCATACAGGGACAGCAGGAGTTGCAACAGGTCCGGAATTGGTCAACACGGCCGCGGTCCCCTCCCCCTGCAGAATCAAGATGATTGGGTGAACTACTGGGATCCTGAAAGTGAACCTTGTGCAGGGTGTCTCAAAATTCGTTTAGGACCCGTTGGTTCTCTTTTTCTCTTTCAGCCACCATTTGTAGGGTAATTTCGAGGATGTCACTTTAATGGTGCCGGAACGAGGCATTCGGCCGCTCTATTCGGATTGAATAAGACCCAGAGTCCAGGCAGATGGGATCAACTGACATTGATTGCTCATTGTGCGCTTCCCCGTACACCTACACACCGAAAGAAGGCCTGCAGTCGTCGGCAGCCGCCCCAAATCGGCTTTTGACCCCCAGTCCTTGAAAGCCTCTTGAGGGGGTCTTGATTTCTTGCTGAGTGAAAGGATTTCACTATGGTTTTCATAAGGGTTTCAAATTGGCATGCCTCATCAGAACACTGCTGGGTCAAGCCTGACTGCTCCGTCATATGGCATGGAGTTTGCTCGAACATCCTGTTCGAAGCAGGGCGGGCGTTTCCTAATTTCCAGTCCTGTAGCCTGTAGCCTTCGTTCCTTTCTTTGGAAGGGCTGCCCTTCGAACTTTGAAACGGGTGCTGGGTGCTGAAAGTAAACCAAAAAAGGATCGTTCCAGACCCCCCTACTTTTTTTTTGACACCTGGAGGCCTGCTTGTTCCTCATTGGCGAGATACTTGGGCAAAGCTGCGGCCACATTCACATCGTGCCCCGGCCAGGTTCCTTCGACTCGGCCGAACATCATGGGGCTCCACAGGGTTTAGGAGCCTCTTGCAGCTGCCTCTTCAGTTTTCCCTGTGAAAAAGGGGCTTTGCGCTTTTCAGGCAGTTTACACATCACGGGAAAAGCGAAGACACCCTCCGAGCCTTTTTCCTGCAGGATTACTTTGACACCCTTTCAATGGATACGAAACCGCAGGACTGGATGAAGGTAAAGGACGACTTAAGGACTTCTTGCTACTGTCGTGACGCTGTTTTTGGTGCCGTCTGCCCCGGATTGTGAACACACCGATTTTTGGGAACACGCAGGGTCCCCAAAAAGGGGTAGAAACCCTCCTCTCGGGGGATGGGGTGCCGTTCGATTCAAGTGTGCTTGCCACGTGAATCGCCAGGTATCACCGCCTGCCTTCGTGGTTCTTTCCAGCTGGCTCTTCCAAGCCAGCTACCTGATTTGGGCGAGGCCTGGTCTGATGCATGGCCAGATGCATATATTTGAGGCTAGCATAGGCTAGCATTTCACCTTGGTTTCAGGAAAAGCCACAGGAAAGCCACAAGTTTTCGGGGCTCCTATTTTGAGACATCCTGGATCTGACCGGATCTGGTACTGCGTGGTCGGGGCAGGGCACCCCCAAAGGTCCTCTGAAACCTTCGGTGCGAGATGGAATTGGATGCAAAGGCGCCAGGGGAAACAGGGAGGCGCCCCACACTTTCAGCTCTCTTGTCCAGACCTTCCCCCCCAACAAGCAAAACAAATATCACCTTTCGCGCGGGGATCAGCCCTCGATTTGGATTTTGCATTCAGCTTCCCCTATTTGATGATGTGTGGAGGGTGACATCACCATTTGCAATTTTGGATCATGCTCACACAATTACTCATAGTCTACTTCGGCAATCATGGCCAAGTTTGGTTGCAAAGTCCCCCATGATCATGACGCAAACTGCTCGTACCACAACCCCCGTTCTACTTATTTGGGTTTATCGTATTCCTAAGACACCGCTCTTGTGATTCCATACGTAGCTTTGGGCTTGGCTCAATAGGTGTGGCCTAATTACCCCTGTTCAATCTGCATGGTGCACTCCGAGCTAGAGTCCTGAATCAAACTCACCCAAGTCTTGCCATCCAACTTGCAATGTAAATCGCATGGTGCTTTCTACCCTTTGTCATGCATACGGGATTGTAGCCCCCTCTGGCCCTCTGTCTTGGCTTTTGGTTGGGCACAAGTGCGGGGCGTTTTGGGGTGGTGTTTGAAGGGCACATCTCTCGGGTTCCCGACCTTCAGCGCTTCCTGCCTGGGTGCTGGCTGTGGTCCCGATTGGATCAGGTTATCCAGATGTCGTGTTGGGAAGTCGATGGGGCCATTTGTGTTAAACGAAACTGCGCTGAAAAGCACACCATTGTCAGGATACTGTTGTCCTACACGCTGGTCCTCTTCACAAACACCAAGGCCGGTGCAGCAAGAAGCCATAAGGTTAATTGCCCTCTGGGTCAAAGTGGGCTTGTCCTTTTTGAGGGTATCCTTACGAGGCAAGGTTTAAGCATTCTGGGTGTTCCCCCATTTTGACACAACAAAATACGTAACACCCCCGTATGTCGACCTTTTGACGGCTTTAACGGGGCTTCCCACGAGAAATCAACAGTGAACCAATCAAATTCCCTTGGAGGCGAACCAAGCATGAAGCCACCGGGCATTGACCAACTTTCAGGATTTGCAGGTTGAGTCTGGCAGTCTGGCGGTTTTGTCCAAGGGCAACCACCCCGAAATTGCTGGGTTTCCCTTTTGGTTTGTCCGCAAACGCAAACCCCCCTGGGATTGTCACCAGCAAGAAACCCTCGGAAGAAGCACTGCAGGGGGCCAGTATGATTTGGCCGAGTTTGACCAGGCACAGTCAACATGGGTAAATTAAGTGCCCCCAAACGAAGATTCCTGAAGCTAATGATAGGCGGTCACAAACCCCTTTCCAATGATGTCCACCCACTTTGATGTTTGAGGGAAACCAGGGATACCGCATTTGGGATTGAAGAAAGCGAAACTGTGAGGCTCAAACCGCCAGGAGCCGCGAGGCTACAGCCCTGTGCAGGGCGGGAGCCGCGAAGCGGTCGAGGCTTGGGCCCACAGTTTTTTCCCCCCTCTATTTTTGGGGTGGCGTTTCCCTCATTTTCCCGAGCCGAAAGCCTTTGGGGGTAGCAAAGCTACTTTTGCTTGTTCTAATTTGACTTTGTTTAACTTGCCCATGTTTAGGATGGGGAAGCTGTCAACAAAATTGTCGTTTTCTCATGTTCGGACGGTTGGTTCTCCTTCAACTGTTTGTTCCCTTTGTTCCGCTTGTCCTTTGCAAATCAGCCAGCCAAAAAAGGGTAGAAACATAGCTCGATGGATGCGTCCTCATGTTAGAGACCTCTTCAAGGTGGTAAGGGTTGCCTTTGGGTTCCCTTTGAAAAGCCGGGGGGGGCTCCTGAGTTGGGACGCAGCGTTCCATATTTTTCTTTTTCCTAGAGGCTCCTCGCACAGGAGTCCAACTGGAATTCCATCTTTGGGTGCTTATTGCTGTGAGTTTTAGGGATGATAGGCCCGCCTGCCCAAAATGCCAGAAGAAGACAGTGGTGTTTTTTGCGGCAAGCGAGCAGAGAGTGGCAACTGATCTCCCCAAATGGTGTGAAACAATTTGGAAAAGGACCCCCTTTGGATGATGAATGGACGCGCCTAGGAAGCCCGAAATAGCCACATTCCTAGCGGTCGTATAAGACCCAAACAGTTGGCTTCCTAGTTTCCACTAGAGGGGCCACCTCCGATGTTTGGCGCAAGGAGCATGTGGGTGTTCCATTGTGAGAGTTGGGCATTAGGTAAACCAGTTGTTTTGGCTGTTGTACAGTGAACACCAAAGGGAAACAGCAAAACAGATGGAGGCAAAGGCTATGTCGGAGTTGGCAGCCTGTGTTGGAAACCAAAGGAAACCACAGGCTCCCTTTGGTTTGCCTGGGATCTCTTTTGGTCATATTTTGCACCTTGGGTTGACTCGACATGGGCAAGAATCAAACGTCTTATTGGTTGGGGCAAAAGCCGATCCACAACGAGGTCTTTGGCAATTTGTGTGAACCCTCCCGAGCAAGCGGCAAGCGGCAGGATTCATGAATGCGTTACTCACCAAATTGCGGTTCACCACAATCCCATGTCATTGGGACCAGAGAGCAGCGGCCGATTAACAGCTCTTTCTTCGGGGCAGTTTGTTCCCCCCCTGACAGGCGGCACGGCCTCGACCTATTGGCATTATTGCCTTGGCAAGAAGGTGCCACAACTAGGAATCCGGATTCAGATTGGTTTCCCATTCACCTACGTGAGCCAAGAGTTTGTAGCACCATCTTCTACCCAAATGGCATGGCCAGACTCACCAAAAATGCATCGTGGCTTAGTGAGCAGGGGCATGGGGCACGTTTGTGAAAGACTTGGTTTTAGCTTGTCATTTTCTGTGATAGAATCTTTGTAGAATGAGTTCAAGTTTACAACCATGGGAATCGGATTCGACCATTTTCAAAGCGCAAATCCACTTTATCCTTTGCCCTTCCAAAAGGCGATCAACAAAAACTCGCCTTTGCAGGGACATATTTAGGAACCCCTTTCTTGTTGGGTTCCCCTAATTTTCCCTAAGACCTACTAAACCCGCGGGAAACCTATGAGCTCGCCGTCCCAAGGACCCGTCACTCGCGGCGATGCCGCAAGATGAGATGCTTCAAGTGGAGGTGCCGAGCCGAGGTTTGTTTCTCCTCCATTGGGAAGAGGGGGGGAATATAAGGGACCAACTATTTAGTGTGATTATTCTCTTATGACCATTACTGAATCTGGTTACAACGCCCCCCACAACCCCATTCTAATTGTTTGGGCCCTCATGCTGCATTATGTCTTATACCAGGGTGACTGGGCAACTTGGTCTCTTGCACCCCCTTCCCCCTCCTTGTGCTAACCATTGAAGGCAGCGATAGAGAATGTTTTCGCGACATTTGCTGAGTATCAACTGTCCGCCAGCGTTTGACTAATTCGCTGTAGAGGTTTCTGCAGCAACACCTTCCGTTTTTCTTAGCTGTTTGCAATTTAGATAAGCTCCGCCGTCAAGCAACCAACTGGCGAGGTGCTACCTGATTTTGAGCGGGGGGGGGGGGGAAACTGGGGTGAGACATGCCCCTCGCGGGTGTAGAAACCCGAAGGGTGACCATGAGTCATCCGGATATCTAGAGGCAGTGCCTTGCGTTACGGGAAGCGAGCATGACTGGTGAACCGTATCGGGAGGGGCTGAAATGACTTCCAGCTTGAAGCGGTGCCAGTGCTTAGGCCTCAAGAGAATATGTCTTGAATTGAGGGAAGGGCTCTATGGAGGTCCAGTCATTGTGCTTCGAAAACTAGGGAATACCCCATGAACTGCAACGGTTTCCTTTTGGCGTCGCTGCACGAAGTGCTTCACATGGGGGCATATCCCTCTGTTCCCAAAATAGTGGACCAGTTGGATGTGAAGCCTCTAGGCTTTGCTGCTGGTTTCCCCTACTTGCCTAGGTTGCTGGCAACTGGAAGCGCTAGGGCACCAGTAATTTGATGTTTTGGGGAAAAGGGGCAAGCCTATTGTCTGGGATATCAATGGTTTCCTTCCTTCCAGTGAAGTTGATCCCTTTTCGGTCTTCGCGGATAGTCTAAGCATTACAAAAGGAGCTGGAGAACCCTGAAGTCTCCGCAATTTACTGGAGTAGGGTTTTGTATGCGGTTGGGCTGAGTCGGCAAGCCAGGTCAACTCAGGTCAACTAAAAATGGAACAGGAGCAACGAGTATGAAAGTCAACCAATCAGGGCCTTCTCGCTTCGAGCCCAGTCGCGCTCGTGTCTTGAGGCGCCGCCCGTTCCGAAGTCCAGGCGAGCGGTTTCAGCGCTGGATTGGTTCATGTCGCCACGAGCCCACCCGGGTCCTTTACCGGGCGTTCCAATGTTTCCGGTTTGGGAATCATAGCAATGTGCCCATATTTTTGGGTGGCTCCTGAAAAACAGAAGCCAAAGTGTCCATGTGACACATGCAGTTTCCACAAGGACAAAACGCATCCAAAATTAAGGCTGTTTTTTTTTCTTCTTATCATGAGTATTAATATTGCCTATAATGGTTTACCTATATATTGTTATTTATGATCGTATTATGTACAGTGTATTATTGTTATTGTTATTATTATATGATTATTATCATTGCTATTATTATTAGTCATATTCATGTTGATATTATTATAGTCGCTATTTGGATCATTATTATTATTGTTATCATCACCCTCATCCTCTTTGTCATCCTCATCGTCGTCATCGCCGTCGTCATCGTCGTCATCGTCATCTTCGTCATGTTCATCATCTTCATCCTCGTCCTCATCATCTTCATCATCATATGTTTGGGTAGGGGGAGAATGATCAGGTGGCTATTCAATATTTATGTTCATTCATTTGGTTGCAAGAGCGGCGCAATCATGTTCACGCTGGATGAAACACACCTGGCATATTCATAGAAGTGTATGCCGAGCAAAGGTTCGCGTTCGAATGTATTGTTCATTGACCCGGGGTTAATGTCGGGAGATTCTCAAACTGGCCGACCTCTTGTTGGATGGTTTTAAGAGGAAGCCACCAGGAAATAACCCGTGTCGTTTGGGTCCCCATTTTTTAGAAACACCCATTAGTCTCTCTTTCCTCAAAGAACTTAAGGACTTCCGGTCCCATCCGTCCCCGCTTCGTTGAACGGGCCACTTGCAGTCAGTAGCACCTCATGAGCCGTGCGGATAGTTGTGACCTCGGCAACCATTGCCCACGATTGGGAAGCAAGACTTAGCTATTTGTGCTGTTTATACATCATCGGACCAGACCTCCTTTGTTATCAGATTTGGTAGGTGACCAAACGGGGCGATGTTGGGCGTCTTTCTAGAAACCGCATTGGGCGTTTATTTAGTTAAACAAATTCGGGTTTTAGAAAAGCCTAATGGTTTTATAAACAACCCAATGCATGTGGCAGCCATCGACTTTTTGGGCTCCCTTCCGTTGCCGCTTTCGACGTGCCACCGGGCCAGGGCGCCGGTGGGGCTGGCCATCCTGCGCGCCGCTTGCCGCACCTGCACTCTGTGCTGCGGGTCGGATGCCTTGGTGCAACCGTTGCGGGAGAGGCGGGAGAAGTTGGTCTTTGGAGGTGGCAAAAATTGATCAGGAAAAAGTGCCTTTGGTTTCTCTTGAAGGGAAACCACTCTTTTGTATTGTTTTTGGTTGGAGGGGGGGCCGGAGGGGGCCGGGGCGATTTTGAGGCAAACCGATTGACCACGCTAAATCCGGGATCAGAGGGGTTCTCAAATATGAGTCCTTTGCCAGTTTGCCCCAAGGCCATCTACTGCCCGCAAATGTGCAAGCCCAAAAGGTTTGCAAGAGGAGATTCCTCTATGGGCGTTTTTTGTGTTACTCCCCATAGAACCTGACGGGCCTGGAAGAGTATGTCTCTCTTAAAGGGACTCTCTGACGGGTTTCATCTTGGTTTGGTGGAATGGTATGACCCCAAGTCAGGAGGCTTGACCTTGCAATAGGTGTAGAGACCACCATACGGTTTCAGTCGATCAGGCAGCGGCTTTCGGCAGTGGCACCCTTGGCCTTCCTGACGGCGCTGCTGGTGGTAGGGGGCAAGTGCGGGTCCTACGAGAACTTCCGAGGCGGGCGCGGACGGTCTGGTTGGAGCCCGGCTTTGCTCACTGCATTTGGAATGGACTTTCAACCATTTTTTGAGACCAGCATAAAGTGGTAAGCAAGAAGTTTGTCTTCGTTGGCCAATTCACCTCGGGAAGCGAGGGAAGGCACGCGCATGGCCCGACAAGCGACCAACCCAGGCGTGCAGTGGATTCCGGGCCTGTCAAGATCTCTTTTTGTTTTGTCGGGTATCGAATGGCCTGGAAAGGAGAACGAAAACCAGGGGAACCTCAACCCCCCCCCCCCCGCCCCGTGGGTTTTAGGCTATCACACCCAGGCGATTCTCCAAGCCAACAAGAAAAGCGTGTTCCTATATCTCCCTTGGGTGGTTTGAAACATCACCTTTCGGAAGTGCCAGTCTGACCTGTGAGTTTCCCTTTGGTGAGGTGATGCTTCATCGCAACGCCCACGGCTTTGGCAGATGAGGGAAGCTTGTTTCCATGTTGGACAAAGTAATTCAAGGGGTAAACCGATCAGGTCTCAATCAGACTTTTGCCGTTAAAGCGACCCTTTTGTTTCAAAGACTAGAACACCCTGAGCTAAACTAGGGTTTAGAGCATGGTTAAACCCCTGAAACCATACCTTTGCAGTTGGCAAACGCTTTTCGTTGGCCGGGTTCTTCGTCAAAAAAGCCAAGACCCAATGCAACTTGGAAGGGGAGTACTGTAAGGAACAAGTAATTAGAGGGGTCGGAGGAGAAGAGCATCATGAATTCATTCATTGATTTTTTTTTTCGGCCCCTTGCCGTGTTTGCAAGGGAAGCCGATCCAAAAGGTGTCAAGCCCTGCTTGGACTTTTCGGCGCCAGGCGAGCTGGACGCCTGCCTAGGCGCCGGAAGAACCTTCGGGTATTTGGGTTCGGCGGATGGTCTGTGAACTTGGAGCTTAGATATTCATCCACTCAGAATTTACATAATATGTGTATTGCATTTGTTTTGATATATCTATATATGGTCCCGTGTTCCGTGTTGCTACCCCCCCCCCCCCCATATGGTATGGTCCCCCAGGACCCCCCCCCGGCCCGAGACCCCGAGCCCCCGGATCCTGGCACCTACGGTCCCACCCCCACCCCGACCCCCTGAACTCGCACCCCGACACCCCGGCACCCCCACCCCCAGGACAAGCCAACCCGCAACCAACCATAAACCAACCCTAAACTAACCCTAAACCAACCCTAAATACACCCTAAACCAAACCCTAAACCGTAGACCTCTAAACCTAAACCAACCCTAAATCAACATAAACCAACCCTAAACTAACCCTAAACCAACCCTAAACTAACCCCAAATACACCCTAAACCAATCCCTAAACAATAAACCCTGAACCTAAACCAACCCTAAACTAACCCTAAACCAACCCTAAAAACACCCTAAACCAAACCCTAAACCGACCGTACACCTCTGAACCTAAACCAACCCTAAACCAACCCTAAATCAACATAAATCAACCTAAATCAACCCTGAACCAACCCTAAACTAACCCTAAATACACCCTAAATATACCCTAAACCAATTCTAAACCAACCCTAAACCACCACAACCCAACCACAGGACCACAACCACAGGGGGGGGGGGGGGGTACTTGCCTGACCCATGACCATTGGGGGGGAGGGGGGGGGGGCTGGAAACGCTGTACCATATATATATATATATGTACACATTGTATATATATATATAGATATGTATGTATACACACAAGCGTGTAACTAGTCGGCAATGCTATGAAATGCTACAACAAACCGGTCTTCAAGGTGTTTTGTTAGCATGGCCATCCTGAAGCATGCTGGGCGTGCAATAGGGGGGGGGGGAGTGACCGTACGTGTATATATATATATATGTATATAGGAATATGATGGGATGTAGGCACAGTCAGAGCGGTGTTCTTGGCATGTCTTTTTGGAGTTGGAACCCTTGTTGATTGTTGCAACAGGAGCAAATGGTCAAGCGAACGTTTTGAGGCTTCCCCCGTCTGTATCTATGCACATATGTATACATATACACATATACATATATATATATATACACATCGCGGCCGCTGTGCGGGTACCACTTTTCCACTCGCAGACGAAGACGAATTACAAAGACAAATTCAACATTAGAGTGCGCTCAAAAAGTACAAGCAGCGAAGACGAATTACCACCCGAAGACGAAGTCCGAAGACGAACTGTCCGAAGACGAATTCCCACCCGAAGACGAATTGCTTCTGAAGACGAATTCCAAAGACGAATTGTTCGAAGACGAACTCCCGCCCGAAGACGGATTACTTCACGAAGACGAATTCCGAAGACGAATTGTCCGAAGACGAACTCCCACCCGAAGACGAATTACCTCACGAAGACGAATTCTGAAGACGAAGTGTCCGAAGACGAATTGTCCGAAGACGAATTGTCCGAAGACGAATTGTCCGAAGACGAATGCCCACCCGAAGACGAATTTCGTCCTGAAGACGAAGTCCGAAGAGTCCGAAGACAAATTCCCACCTGAATGCGAACTACCCTCGGAGGACGAACTCCAAGGACAAACTAAGCCCAAAAAAGAACCCCGAAGACAACTTGTTTGAAGGCGAATTCCCACTCGAAGGCAAAATGCCCCCCGACTATATGCCGGTTGCAAAGATGTGAAGACTACGACTTCGAACACAAGCAAGGACCGAGTTGTGAAACGAAAAGGAGAAACAAAGAGGAGGACGTGAAGCGAGAGGAGGACCCGAAGGATTGAAACGAAAGCGTGGGGGAAAGCGCCATGACATGTATCTTAGCCAGATGCCGTTTCAAGCAAAGGCACAGTGGTTGAAATAGTCAAAGCGACAGGAAACAGCAAGATGCATCACAGCTTGCTTCTAGGCGTGGTCTACATGTGCGCGTTGTTGTTGCTTTCCCCTTGGTTTAATGCGTGCTTGGGCAGAGCACAAGATGCTCACATTTAGCTCAAACCCTACGCAGTGAAGCGCATCGTTTCTCGCAGCTGCAGGAGTGCAAGTGTGCCTGCCATGACTTGTCGCTTGTGGACGCTTCGCGCAAGAGTTTGCAAACACTTGGGTTTATTACCCATGTTCCTTGAGAAAGCCGCTGCTTTTGCAAGCGGCGAGACCAACTGTTGAACCGCTTCCTTTCCCGTGAATCTAATGTTGTCCCATGAAGAGCCCGCGTCCTGTTTGTCCCTCCCTTTTCTTCTTGCCAAAGCCCATGGCAACACCCCACACTGTCCATGAGAAGACCATGTCCTTCATCGCAAACATATAATGAATATCAAGAGGAAGTGTGTCGTCACCGAATGTGTCGTTACAATGCGTAGCCGCCGGGTAATGCACCGTTAGGAGGTAATGTGTTGTCACCCCACAATGTGTCGCCTCTGGGTAGTGCGTCGTCCGGGAGTAATGTGTCGTCACCCAATGTTTCGTCATGGCGCGTTGCCAACAAATGTGTCGTCAAGCATGTGTCGTCAGAATGCGTCGTCAGCGTCAGGGCGACTAGTTATACCCAACCTGCGGGTGCCCTGTATATATATATATATCTCTGTCTCTCTCTCTCTCTCTCTCTCTCTCTCTCTCTCTCTCTTGACGGGCGCACTTGCAGGCACTCTTTCGCCTGGGCGCTGGGCATGTGCGCAGTGCTGTGAACTTGAGAGGGGGTTCTTGTCATTTTGTGTGTGCAGTGTGCTGAGCGGGCGCGCTTGAGCAGGGGTTCTTATCATGCAGAGGTGTGATGCATGCTCTCAACATAGGCCAAACCGCGTTGTTTAAAGGATGGTCAGAAAACTCTACGAACAAATAATGTTTTTCGTCATGTTGGCCCGGCGCCTGTAGGCGCGCTTGTTTGGAAAGAAAAATGCACATATGTATATATATATGAGTATATTCATATATGCATATATATATATATATACACGCTCACATGCTTATGGATGTACACCTCGTGTTTGGATGGTGTTTAGAGGCAGGAGTGCACCCTAGACCCTCTTTCATGATGTCTTCCGTTGGGCGGTTTGTGCGGGGAGTGGGTAGTTTGGCTAGTTTGAGTAGGGGGTTTTAAGAGCTGTTTCTCCCGCCCTTGGCCGTTTATTTCTGTTTCAGGCCCGCTGCTGAGCGGGGAGGGCGTCACGCCGGCGCCGGCGGCCGGCTGAGAATGAGCTGAGTAGGAACACTCAGGTGGAAGTAGACGCGCGACTACTGCATTCTGGTTTCATCGACCCTTTTTCTTTTTCGCATAAGAATGCTTCCACCGACCATGATTTCTAGTTCCAGGGGTTTGTTAGTTTCCTACCGCTCTGGAGAAGAAGGCTTCGCAAGGAAGTCCCCATGAAGCAAAGATTTGGGTGAATGTGTGTTGGCTTTTGAGGATTCGATATCCTTATTTTGACATGTACCCATTTGAAGGACATCAATTCCTGGTTGTGACATGGTCCCCGTTTGCCGAGGTGTGGTTGAGCGAGTCCCAACCTCAGCGTGCAGCAGAAGAAACTTCCAACTCCTAGTTGGGATCCACCTCTTTTTTTATTTTATTTTTTGAATCCTTTCCCTTTTTTTGTTGGGATGGTTTGCCTTTATCTTTGTCTTTCCCTCCCTCTAATTGTTTGGGGGGCTATTTACTAAAAAGTCGTCGTAGCCCCGCAACGGATCCAATTCAATTCCTTCCGTTTGGGCCACTGGGCAACTGGGAGCTCGCCTTTTTGACCAGCCAGAGGTTTGGGACAGACGTGAGGGACAACTACTTCAACAACATCATCCGTTACATGAAGGACATGGATATGTCTGATATGTCTAAATGGGGGGGGACAAAAACAACAGCTGTGTGACTGTGTACTGTGTATGCGTCGAAACCAGTTTGACCTTCATTTCAGTTGGTCTCATGTTGTTGTTTTCCTTTTGGGATGGCGCAAAGCTTTACTTGCCTTGTTGCCTTGGTGCCTGTTTATGTCCCTGGCCGGACACAAGGACCTAAGGAAGCAGAGAGTGGCTCCGAATGGAACGCTTCTTCCTGAGCGCAGTGCGCAGGAAAACGAGCTCGATTTTGCCTACTGGAGCATCAACGGCAGAAAGAGGTTCAACGAGAGTGAGACCTACGGCCTGCTCCAGGACCTTGCTCGCCGGAAAGCTTTGCGTGGCAGGGTCTAAGATGGAGTGGCAGAGGAGCCACTGTTTTTGGTGTCTATGGCCAAGGGAAGTAGGATTCTTAGGGGGACGTTTAGGAATCCGACAGAGTCAGCCGCCAGAAGGGTGCGTGGTTTTTCACCCTTCTCAGGTTGGTTCATATTGAAGCCAGAAGCAAAGTCGCCATTTGGGGGTCCGAATTCCTATTTTGACACGTACCCACACCAGAACAACGGTGTTGTTGTCCTGTGGCTTTTGGGCAAGGCAGACCATAATCAATCCGTATATGCGGTGATGAGTTTGCGTGGAATTGGTCACCCAAGCTGGTCAGCCGAATGCGACAAGAGTCAACCTCCAATGGGGCCTATGGGGCCGCAATGGGCCTTTGGGGTAGAAGGAGTTGGTCCAGTATGTTGAGAAATACCCCATTGTCAATGGACCCTACCAACCCCTCGCCACAAAGACCCCTCCAAGACTGGCAAGGCCCTTGTTTCCGCCCCAATACAGCTGCAACCCTTGCGTCCTTGGAGGGGTGGTTTGCAGGGTCCCTGGCATTTGTTCAAAAGAAGCCGCCAGGACGACAACTTCGCAGTGAGACATCCTTGGAAGCTGGAGATGTTGCATTCATTGCTGGGTGCCAAATAGCACATGTCGTTTACTTCTCGATTTCCCTTGAAAGAAACCAGCATGGGATGGATCGTTTTGTTTCATTATTTTCTCTGACCCCTTATTTAGCACCCAGATTGAGTAGTGGCTGACAAAGTTGCAGGCCGCAAAAGTGATCGATCGCGCCTGTCCATTGGCACTCTGCCCGGGTGAGGCAAGGGGGGTCACCACACCTGGTTGAAGCACAAGTGTTCCAACGGAAGTGGGTGGTTCAGCTAGAGAGTACGCAAGCGGTGGCAATTGCATTGTGAAGCCGCCAAGCCCTTTTCGTGTGGTAGTCGCCTTATGACTTTCTCGCAACCACCCCGCAGTTTTCTCGACGCTTGCTGACGCGCCAGGGTCGCTTTGTTTGGCGTCGCGGCCAAAGGACCCGGCAAACTTGGATGTCAGGTAGGGTTCCGGGTGTACCCTGAAAACAATCATGGCACTCAAAACAGGGTCCCTGTTAGAGGATCCATTATTATTTCTGTCAGGGCACCTTTTCATCCCATGAGAAAAAAGAGGGACGTCAAACCCCCTGTGTACGGGGGTCCATTTATTTCCCCTCAAAAACGCGTCAAAAGGCAAGCCCGGATGGAATTGACGGCACACCTGAGGCTTAAAGTGGTCGACAGAGCTTGATTTTGGTGGGCGTGCATATGTGGACACCCCTTCCCCTCGAGTTTGTGGGGCAATTTCCTGCAATCCTCATTTTTGGAATCACCATGCAAAAGGGGACGTTCCAGTCAGGCCAGAACTAACCAGGTGCAGCTTTTTCCCCAAAGGTTTTCCAGTAAGCCAGTAGAGCTTTCCAGCAGAGAATCTACCGGTGGTAACCCCGAAAATCCGAGTTGGGGGTCTAGAAGAGTGACCAGTAGTCTTTAGACAGGGTCGGAAGGCTCCCAAGCAGCATGGTCTGGGTAGACTCCTTTCATGCCAGGCTTCCTTTTGGCTTCAAACCTTTGAACTCCAAATGTTTGTCCCCTTGGCTCGGACACACCCATACAGGAATTGTCTCAGGACAAGCCTTGCTCCCCTTCTGCAGGCCTCTAAGTTTGATGAATCTTGGGTTCTCATGACACACTCAAAAGCCAGTCTCAGCGGGAATCGCCAGAAGTACTCCTTGGAGTTAAGTTTTTGGTCACCATCTTTCCGTACCATCTAAGAGACCAACTACAGGAAATTCACAGGAAGGTGGTCAAATACCAACAAAACCCCGGGGGTGTGGCCAACCAGCTCTAGAAGTGTTCTGTAGCTAGTCTCCTAGATGCCAGACGTCGGTCATGACTCATCATATCCCCGCGCCTTTGTTGCGCGATGCCGCGCTCTTTTTCTGCTACTGAAACAGCGCCCACGAGGTCCAAATCTGAAATTTTGCAAAAAACCTACTTTGCAGGTTTGGCATTCTTACAGCGATCTCATGGGAGGCTTTGGATGGGGCCTAAGCCGAACTGCCATGCTGCTCGTTGTGGCCGCAGGATTCCATAACCGTATGAACAGCAAGCATGTTGCTGGAAAGGAGGACCGTTCTACGGGCTATGGGCGTGGGATCAGGAGACGGGTTTCATTGCCATTGTTTGGAAGGTCAAGCGGTGTAAACGCCTTCGGTCCATGCTGCATCCAAAGCCGACCCTTGGGGGTCCCCTTGAATGTCCCGTCTTTGGTCTCAGAAGGTGAACCCTTTGATTTTCGGGTCCCAAAAGGGCAGAGTCCACGAGGCGGTTTCCAGATTTTCTTGCTGTATGGGGGAGTCTTTCTTCGGGGGTACCTTTTTTGGGGTTGTTGCAGGTTACCCTAGTTTGAAGCAACCCCACCTACCATTTGAAGCCATGGCGGATTGTTGATCAAGGAAACCTTACCGACCATATCCGAACACGCCATTCTGAATCGTGTTCATCGCTTTAGAAGTGATGAAGGTCAGAAATGCAGGCGTCCGAAAGTGGACAAGCCCACGAACATTTGCGTAGAGCGAATCGACGGAAAGGGGGGAAAGCCTATGGATTGCACCCATGAAGGATCCTATCATAAACAAAGGCCATTGTTGGGTTGCGCCAAAGTGGACTTAAACCTGCAGGTTCCTTACATTTGCCCGTAGCGGGGTGGTGTTGATTTCCCCCTTTAGGGAAACCTCTGGGTCTCAGAGTCTAAGGGGTAACCAACAAATGAGTCTGGTGAGGGTTTTTGACTCAGGTGGAAATACTGCAGACCCAAAACCGCCGAAAAAAGGAAAGAAACAGTGGCCAAACTGCTGCAACTCACAAACCGGAAATAAGGAACCGCCAGGTCAAGGACCTTCATCATGGCTGCGCCTGCTTTACGCACAGGTGAGCTTGCGTTAATTTGCCTTGGACACTTCCTGCATTGCCAAAGGGAACAAGTTGGAAATCCTGTCAGGTACCCATTAAAAAAATGGTTTGGTTTCTTCCCTATGTATAAAGCAAGTAGGGCAATAAGATGGACACCTGGTGTCCCGCCATGGGCTTCCTTCGAGGCTGGAACTACCTCAGCTTTTGCCCCCGACTCGAAATGCCGTTTTGCTGGCCTAGTCCATAGTGAACTCAAGGAACCAGCGAGCTCCACAAAGTTTCCAAGGCCTGACATAAGGCATCCCCGAGTAAAAGACTTGTTCTACAGTAAAGCTCACCATGAATCAGGAAGGGAACATGCAGAATGGTGTCATTGGAGAGGTGGGGAAAGATTCGGAAAGATGCTCGATCCCCTTATCGAACCCATGGGCAAGATCAACTGCTTGGCGTCTGTTTGGCTATAAACTCAGTAAACCAACTTAGAAGGTTCATGAACCACCTGGCCCCCCCCTATATTGGCTTTTTAAGGTCAATCCCAGTATTTGCCAATACTTGCCCGGGCAATTTGTTCATGTCCGTCAGTTGAGTATACAACTGTTTTTGTTTTCAACATGAACTTAAACCATAAGCAACCATGGCCGGGCAAATGGGTATTGACGTGTGCGGGTTGCCGGGGACTCTGATGAGATGTACCACAGGACGTGAAACAGGAGGTCTCGGAAGTGGTGCTGCCGGAATCCCAGGGCCGGTTTTGTTTTTTTGGGGCCTCATTTGGTTTTGGGTTTGAGTTTTTCTTTTTATTGGGGGGAGAGGCCCGCTTTTTTCTCATTTCCCCATCCAAGGCCGGTGCTGGCCACCCTCGCGGGCTGGTGCGTGCTCATGTGGGCCATCCAGCACGACATCATCCCGGCGCGGGACCCCGGGACCCCGAAGGATTGGGACAGAGGGGGACAAGGTTTTGTTCATCTCAAGTTTGTGACTGTTCCTTTGAGCTGCCCCCTTGTATAGGTGTGGTGTTTGAAAGACAATCAGAGAGAAACCATCCATCGGCGTTCGCCCTGCTCGGGAACAGCAAGAAATGGCTATACCCAATTCAGATTCATACCCATAGGCGCCTTTGTCAGAATTGTAATCATTTGGGGAATTTGGAGAACCATAAAGATTCTTTTTAAGGGAGCTCACAGGGTTCTCTTTGCCGTGGCACCCAAACATATATAAATAGAGTACATATATATATATATATATATACATATATATATATATATAAATATGCACCCCCCCAAGGACCTGGTTGTGGTGCCTTTTAGTGATGATAAATCTAGAACTTGGAGATTGACATTCTTGAAATGTCTAATTTTGCACAATTTTGAGCCCCCAAAGCCTCGTAATTTGGAGCCCTGAGTCCTTCGGAATGTCCCAATATGATACCCTTTCCACATAAGATTTTACTTTAACTAGAATTGGCTTTTTGATATACTTTAGTAAGGATATGGTTGTCCAACAAATGTGGTTTATGTTCAATTATTACTTAGATTAACACATCCTTTCCAAATAGGAGTTACATTAAAATGTAAAACTCGTTTCGGGTAAACTCCAACTAGTCTTTAACAGAAAACTAGATGGGAGTTTATTCCCAAACCTAAATTTACGTGTCAACTATATTCTGATACGAACACCATTCAATTAGCTTTTGATAGTAACAATTACATGGAAAGTATTTCTCAAATATTTCATGTTAAATATGGCTAAACATTTGAGGGACTTCTACAAGGAAATTCAAAATATGATTTGTGTTATTTACATTCATGCCATTCATGCCCTTTGGCAGCATACGACAGGTGCAAAATTAAGCTTTAGACGTTGTTCCAAAATGGACATTTCAAGGAAGAGGGTTTCAAATTCCAAAACTATCTCGAAACGGGGATTCTAGCTAAATCAATTGTAATTAAAGTTTTGCTTGAACAGGAAGACATAATCCATTCTATCCCCAAAGGCGGAGGTAGTAGATGAGCAGAGGTGGGGGGTAAGGGGGGGCGAATATATATATATATATATATACACACACTCGCAGGACGGATGGTTCGCCATCGGTCATCAATCTATTTCGCAATACCGTAAAAGCGCCGTGCCAATGGGATTTGCGTACTCGGGCACTCTGGCGCACAATTTGCGGCCGTGCCAATGGGAAATGGCGACCCAGCGGGGTGGGGGTGGGGGGGAGGGGGAGGGGGATAATTTCGGTCGCTGCAGTCGTTAGACGGGGTCGGGGGTGGGGGGGGCTAATTATGTTCGCTGTAGACGTTAGACGCACCCAGCGGGGTGGGGGAGATAATTACGTTTGCTGAAGACGTTGGACGCACCCCAGCGGGGTGGGGGGGGGGGGGGGGGACGTTCGCTGTAGACGTTGGACGCACCCATTGGGGGGGGGGGTCGTTCGCTGTAGACGTTTGACGCACCCCGCGGGGATAAGTACGTTCGCTGTAGACGTTAGACGGGGGTGGGGTGGGGTGGGAGACATTAGACGCACCCATGCAAGGGGCTCATTGTTGTATCGCAGCAGACGTTAACACGTGCTCGGACGTGCAGACGTTTGTGTAGACGCACTCTGTCCCGCGGGGTGACAACAGACTGTATATATGTATGTGTATATACATATATACACATATGTGTATGTATCTCTCTAATTTCTATTACATACACACGCGTGCACACATGTCTTGCTCAGTCTTGCTTTGATGTTTTGTGCGGACCCTTCTGTGACATGTTCCCCGGAGATATTTTTTGGCTGCCAGGGAAGGTTCATAACATTGCAGGAGGCCGCATCTTTGTCGTTTGTGATTTTGTTGCGATTGATAGGGCGCACAGGCTTTCGGGCTGCGCGCCCAGTCTTTCGGTCTTCTCTGTTGCCCACGACATTGCCTTGGCTGGACCAAGCTCACGATGTATTGAGTTGGCCCAGCACGGCCGATCCGGTACTAGCCTTCGTTCAAAGCACCATCTTGCAGGCATACAACGCTGGCTCACCAAACCAGGGTGCAGGGTGCAGGGGGGGGGGGTACCGTATATATTCATGTATTGTTTTTAATCTACCATTATCCGTTTTCTTTGATTCAGTGAGACAAGCTACCATTCAATCAGACATTGGTGGCTTCCTTATCTTTTTTTGCTTGGGTTTTCCCGTGAACCCCACAAATCGTGGGGGACCCGTTTCTTTCCGACGCGTTTGGGCCCATAGACCACAAAGGTATTTGCTCAAGCCTCCTTCTGCATCCTTGAGGTGCTGAGTTCGAAGGGCTTGGCATGCGACGGCCCAGCATTTGCTGCGATAGAAGACTCAAAATAGGGGCACCCCAAAACGACGGTTCTCTTTTTTTGGTTCCCCAACCAGCCTGACGATAAGGCTACCTCCAAACGAGCCACACCCACAAGTCCACTTCTGGCGATTTGGTGGATATATTTCGGGTTCCGAGGTGCCGGGCCTGCCGCAAAGCCAGAATGACATGTTCCCCATCGTGGCGACCTTCATCGCCGCTCGACGCATTTTGAGGTGCATCCGCTGCATCCAAGTGGTTGGTTTCTGGCTTGACCGGAGGGTACCCTTTGGGGCCGTTTTACTCCAGCAAACCGGGGGATCCAGATATACTGCCAAATCTACTTAGTACTGGCTTGCCGGGACGCTTATTTCGCGATAATTGCTATGTGCCACCTCCTGATGGACGATGGCCTTTTGGCTTGGCAATGGGTTTGGAATAGCCAGTGGTTAAATGGGGCTCAGGTTGTACACTGGTCAACATGTGATTTTGCGGGGAAGATCAACATTGCGGCGTCCCACTTTCAAATTTCATATGTTGCGCAGGGGAGATCTTTCAACCCATGGTGGTGACATGTGACCGACGTGTCGTCGTTTGGCTGTCAGGCTGGCTACGCCGTCATTGTTCTGGAGGACAGTCTGTTGCAGATGGCTTGATTTCGAGTGACTTCTGGTGATACTCACGGGCCAGCAAGCAGGTCTGGGTCAACCCCTTGTTCCAATCGCGGTTGTTCAAGCGTTTGAACGTGTTTTTCGTCAGAGGCAGCCATAGCCAGTTTTTGCATAGCCAGTTTTTGCCACCCGCGAACCAGCCTGCCATTTCAGTTGAGTATTTGAGTCTGGCAAGTGCAGGAGCAGACTGAGATCAACAAGGCACGGACGCCCAATCTGGAATGTCAAAGGGAATAAGCGCCTTTTGCGTGGCGGGTTGGATGTTTTTCTTCCACAAGCCGGCGGTGCAAGAGTTAATGAAAGGGCCCCTTTTTAAGTGTCCATTTTCTTTTAAGGGGTTGCAACATGTCTCAAACTTTCTGTGGCAAAGAAGAGAAAGCATAAAGGACGGGGCCCTTGTACACATTCTTGCTTGCTCGAATTGTCATTCGCGCTTCCTTTGGATCAAGGGATGCACCAAGATGCTGTGGATGGTGGCTGGGTGCATGGGACCACGGCACGGAACCCGAACAATCCTTTCCGTGGAACAGACGCAGTGCAGCAGAGAGCCTTGCCAGGCGGCACACGTGAAGCATTGCAGTTCTCCAAGCAGACGCAGTGTTCACGGCTTCGATTTTGCGAAGGGTTTGGGCGCATCTGACATGCTTCCAGCGCTGCAGCCATGGGCTGGCTTGGGTCCTTCTGGCCGAGCTGGTGTGCCAACTAGAGCAAGTCAGACTGATCAGAGATGGAGGGTGCCATTCTTCACTTCGACCGCTCCTTGGCTGTTGTTTGGACCTTGAACCTTAGTTGTGTTCTTTGCGCAGGGGGCAAGAGCCAAGGCTTCCTTGCTGGCGTGTTCCGCCTCGCGTGCTCAAGGCCTCGGGCGGGCTCAAGCACGCGCGCGGGTGTGCTGCGCTGCGAAAGGGCGGCGGAGGGGCAGCTCCGTCAGCCCGGCGAGTGGGGCGCTGCCGCGATGCGACGTGGTTGCGTTTTGGTTTGAGCTGTGTTCTTGGATTCTTGGCAAGCTGTTCAGAAATGACACACTTTCCAAGCGAACATATGTTCTACTTTTGCAGGTCCAATTCGACCAAGATCCAGGTGTGGTTTTCGATTTGGACGGCTGCATCTGGAGCCCGGAGATGTACGAACTGTCCTGGGACCGGGGAGGGTCTCCCTTCCGGTACGACGAGAAGGGTGTGATGCGCGACAGGAGTGCAAGCCGAAGATTGCGGGTTGAGTCAGGAGCCAGTGGCATGTTTACTGGTCGCCCAAACGAAAATCAACCAATGGCATGTGCAAATATTATTCATATATGATTAAATATGTGTATGAAAATACATAACTTCACTTGTGAACATGTTCACATATCGCATGTGTATTTACGTCTAGCAGGGCCTAACTTCACTGATGTGCTGTTGTTTGAAGGTAAACCATGCAGCCACTCCAATCAAAATCAACAATTGAGAGAAAATGTCGACCCTGTCACAAGAAAGAGTCAAGAAAGGCACTTTTTGCATGCCAGCCACCTTGGGCACTTTGGCTTTCACCAAAGGTGACAACCTCACAGGGCGTCCGAAGCCGAGTTCAAGAGAAGCAACATGAAGCGGGCAAACCGAAGCACGAGGCTTGGCCAAGAAAGCCGAACTTGTTTTACACCAACGGGCTTCCCAAGTGTAAAGTCCAGGAACTCGGGAGTGAGGGAAACCCCTTGCGGGACCCTCAAGCGAGAAACCGCGGGGAGCCCCGAAAAGACAACCCGGGAGCGCAAGTGCTATTTGGGCCAGTCATTTGCAGGTTCCCAGGACTTTCCTGGTGGGTTCTACTGTTTTCAGCTAGGTTCTATTCATTTACTGGTGAAAGTCATCTAGTCTTCCCCATTAAGATTTGCGAAATATGGGCCATCATATCGCGCACACACACATTTTGTTGGGGGGTTGGGGTTCATAATTCGAGGAAGCTCTAGGAAATGGAACCTTTTAAACAATCAACACAACCAAACAAATCCGGTTTTCAAAAAGAAAACAAGACAGTTGCGAATGGTCCTACAAATGAAAACATGTTCCACCTACAATGTTCCTTATTCATATCCATCACACAGCTCCTTTGTTCTTTGTTTCCTACCTGGAACTTGTTGTTTTTTTTTTTTTCCTTGCCCACAAATGAAAAGTCAAGGGCAAGCTTGAGAATCGCATTTGCCAGCGGTTTTTTTCAGGATTTGCTTGTGGTGCTTGCGAAACATGTAGTTGTACTTTCAGGCATATGCCGCTTTCCGAGTTTCAAATTGTGGGGTTGGTTTGAAGGGCAACCCAAGGACACCACCATTTTGGGATCCAACGAATCCTACTTGGACACCTAGCCATTGGTTCATTTGGATCCGCACCAACCCAATCCGCATCGGAACGAGAGGAACGGCTGCGCCATCCTGCTGCACAGCGGGGTGGACCGGGCCTTGACGGAGATGGCCAGCGAGACGAAGTGGCAAGACACCCAGGCCGAAAGGGCCCAGTGCGGGGTTTGCGCTTCGCGGGGTCTGCGGAGGGTTTGTCTCAAACGTGTTTTTGTAAAGAAAAAGGTGTCCGTTTGGTTTGTAGTTGAAGGAACTACCAAACGGGCAGCCTTGCAAAAGACACACCTAGCTGGGGTTGTCGAAGTTGCGGCCTCTTTTTTGGTACTGGAGGCCTGATTCCTGAAATTATCACAGCTAAGGAGTAGGGGGGTCTTCTTGCCAGAATTCTCCTCCTTTGGCCCCCCCAAACAGCTGGACAAATCCTCACTGCGTGAGTTCCAGGCCTTCACTATCCTCTTCGGGAAGACCATTTGAGTGGGGCGGAACTAGTCTGGACTTCCTTGGCCAAGCCATTCAGAAAGTCGGAAAGCCAGTCCTTTCCCTTTCAACGGCTTTCCGGAAAGATTCGGACCCCTTCTGTCAACCGCGGTCAGTGCCACTGCGCAGGTGGCGGTGGCCTCCTGTTGCGACGTGCCCCCCTGGGCCTTTGAGCTGCTGGGGAAGTTCGAGTTCGGGCCCTCCAGGGCCAAGCCGCTCGACTCGGAGTCTCGGAGTCGGCCGGGTCGTGCTCCGCAAACCCCGGCCTGCAGCCCGCTGCTGGTTCACAGCGCATCCGATCAGGGGTCCTCAAGAATGCCCCTTTCTGAGTGGGTTTGAATATGACTGTTGGGAGGTTGATCAAGTTGGCCTTTGGTGGGGACGAAGAAGGAAACCTCTTGGAGGCTCCCCCCCGGTTCCAAACACCCTCCAAAACCCCCATCCGTTTGTTTTTTGTTGAACCTACAGCCGCTCTGAGATGGGAGAATGATCAGGTGGACCGCAGACCCGACAGATAGTTGACGTGCAGCGGAGGTTTCCAAGCATTGGGGTTTTCTCTTACTTTCGAATGCTGGGTTTCCCCTTGTTACCTACTATAGTGGCAGGCCTGGAAGCACTGGGTGGTGGCATTCGTTGTTTTTCTTTAGCTCCGGATGGCGGATCCGGTCATGTTTCCTATTCAGGAATGTTTGGTTGCTTGGCAGGTCGCTCGGTTGATTGGTGATTGGTGGACTAAGCGAACGCACAAGCGATGTGCCATGGTGAGACGACCCCTGCACTTTGTGGTGACGGTGGCCATGACTCACAGATTTGAGCACTGTGCCAAACGGGGGCCCCGTGTTTCTTTTGGTTGCCCGTTTAAGCTGAAATGGAAAGGTTGCTCGCTTTTGCATTTAATTTGTAGCGGCTATTAGATGGTTTTGTTAAGTGACCCCCTTTTTGGGCTACTTCGGGGGCCATTCGGTGTGTCTTTGTTTGACGGTATCTTCTTGGGGTACATTTAAATGGATAACAAGCGAAAACCAGTCATTGTGGGTGTTCCTCTATTTGAGAGACGCACCCATTTTAACGATTGCCAAATATGAACCAGAATATTTCACATTCTTTTTGGGTTGGGTGTAAACGGTGAGGTAGTGTAGATGTTGCTGTTTAGGGCGGAAAGCTTTGTCTCCACAGGACATTAACCCCGCAAGTTTGTTTGGTGCGCCTCAACATCCGTATCTATATGTGGCATGTTCAAAAGATAAGGACGGTCAAGGATCCCTCCTGCCACAACCCATGACCATACGGAAAAGCGTTTTGAGCTCTTCACCTCTCAGAAGGCGCGGGGCGCCAGGCTGAGCCAGGTGATCTCCACGGCGCAGATCCACAAGGGCTCCAAGCAGGGGCACTTGAGGGAGATCCGCGACACCGTGGGCTGCGACTTCGATGATATGATTTTCTTCGATCCTCGGCCTGGCGAGGAATGGGAATGGGTCCCGGAGGCATGAAACATGTCCCTGTCCACACATCATCTTTTAGGATCATTGTGGCTGAGCCCTGCGGGATGCCTATAATTAGTTGATACATGCTGGCCATGGAAAATATCATATTTAGCATCTATCAGCTGATTTGGAGGACCCGTGTCCATAGGTGATTCTTGGATGTGTCTTGTGCGGAGTGGCGATCCGGGGATCGCTCCGAATCACGCCTGCTTTGCGCAACGCTGCCCGGGACCTGAACGACGTCAAACGGGGGCCGCCCGGAAAGGGTCGAAACGTGACAAGGGCAATCTGACTTCAACGCCCCTCGGCTCGGACCGGATTTGGATCCCTTGCCTTCAAGATGTCATGAGCCAGAACTGACCTTTGAGTTTCCTTGATGTCTTTTTGGCGTTGGATTTCCGTTTTGGCCCCAGAAGTCTTCTTGAGTCGGACTCCGTGCAAGTGAGGATAACGAGCCCTACAATTGCGATCAAGTGGCACGCCTCAGCCGCTGCCTTGGCAGCTTCAGATGCGACATTCGCAAGTTGCTGGTTCTCCAAAGCATGGACTCCTTTGTTGGACTCGCTTTGAAGGTGTGCCAACATGTGTGTCAACAATGTCAACATGAAATCAAGCCGGCCTCCAAGCGGGCGGCTTGTGATCACTCTGATCCAAGGGAACCGTGCTTTTGCTTGTCCTGGCCTGGGCTGCTGGCTGGCTGGCTGGTTGTTTGGCTGGCTGGTTGGTTTGTTTGTTGGGGGCTCTATTGGTGCTGGATTCGATCTTACTAGAAGCGGGTCTTGGGTTGGTTGGAGGTTCGGTTAGGATTGGCAAAGGGCTGATATCCAGGCTGCTGTTGGGTGGGTTTAGGTTTGACATTGGGCGGGTTTGGGGCTAGCTTGGAGCTGATTTGTTCTAGGTGTGCAGCCGCTTTAGGGCCTTTAGGGTTGCTGGAGGGTATCACGAAGGGAGTGTTAGGCTGATTTGGGATTGGTATTGGAGTGTTGCCCCAAACCCCTCAAAGTAAAACTCCCTTTACGTTTCTCCAAGAAGCTGCACACCTAGCACAATTCAGCTTCGAGCCAGCCCTTTGCCGAGCCTAACAGAACTGCCAACCCAAGGAGCGTCACTAAGATCGAGCCCAAAAAGCCACGGGCAGGTCACTGCCACCAGCCCAGGTCGAAGCGTGGTCCCCAGTCACAAAGTCAGACACAGACCAAGAGCTCGGGGCTTCAGTGGCTCGATTGCCATAAGTGGTTCGTTCGTAAACCAATCTTGGTGGTTGAAACAAAGGAAGGTGTGCGTAAAATCAGCTGACTCAAGGTCCTTGTCCTCCTGTTACCCAGCTTCCCAGCTATGGATAGTCAACACGGCAGCCGCATGCCGCACACTGCACGCCGCAGGTGTGACGTGTGTGTATTGCCCGGAAGGGGTCACAACCGAAGCGTGGACCGCCGGCATTGAGGCGCTTCGAAGCGTGAACCGAAGAGCGTCTCGGTTCTTTTTGTTTGCCATTGCGCCGAACCTCAGAATGACCAAACTGTCCCTATATTGGGAGTACGTCCCCCCCAACCGCCGCAAAAGCAATTCCCAAACCTAGAAAATTGGCCAAAGGGGGTCCTCTTGCTTGCTTTTTCCAGGGACCATTTGTGCAAGAGGAATGGAAGCAACCCTGTTTCACTAGCCTTTGCGCAATGCGCCCACGATGGACGGAGACCTCCAAACCATTCGCTTCCTATTTGGATTTGCCGCTTCACATTCCAGAAGGGGCTTCCTATCCTAAGTCATCCGAAGAGCCCTGGCTTCTCTCGGGTGTCCACGGTTGGACTCTCGCGGCCCTCTGGCTTAAGTCGATGGGTTGATCGTTAGTTTTAGAGGAAACGATCAGCTGCTCATGTTCTATGTTCAGTATGTTCAGTGGTCTCCAAAAGGGACCAACCTCAAAAAGGATGGTTTCCCATTGGTTTATCTTGAGCAACCAACTGACACACATGTACAGTACATATATACATAGTACATGCCATTGTATACAGTGTGTATATATATACACACACGTACATACATTATTTATTTCTTGCTTTACTTTGTTTTCATGCATTCATTTATCCATGTCTTGGTTTACGGGTGTATTCATATATGTAGGTGTGCATATATATACGTATATACATACAATATATATACAATATATATATATATATATACAATATATATATATATATACAATATATATATATATACAATATATATATATATATATACAATATATATATATATATATACATACATATACATACATACAAATTAATGTACATGCCGAGTGCGTGCGTGGATTGTTTTGCCGTATCATACACACAGATATGTATATATATATAATATACACTACATGTGTATATATATATATATGCACACACACATCACTGCATATACATGCACACATTCATCACACACAGACCCCGCTGCTGGCTGTTTTTTCTTCCGAGACATCGCGCTTTGGCTGCCAGGCCTTTCCCGTGCCGGGGTCCACCATTCGCTGCTGAAGCGCTGTCGAAAAAGAGACGCTGCCGCCTCATCTGGGATCTTGTCCAAGAGTATTATTTCTTTTTAGGGTAGGCAGAGCATTCTATTCTTGGAGAATCCCAGATGTGGGCCGGCCTAATGGGTCCCTACTCAATTCACAGAGGCTCGTGCAGGTGATTAGCTTCAGTTGGCGCCAGCTGATGTGGCGCCCACCCAGAAGATCTAGGTCAATGGGGTCCCCTAAGGGCTTAAATAATGCAGGGTTTCCGCAACGCATGTTTAACATCCGACTCTTGAGGCGTGTTTAGCCATGCGGCTGGTCCACCTAGTTTGATTTGTTTACTGTGGGGGGGGGGGGTTCCTTTACTTCCATCTGCACTGTGTAAGACATCCTCAGAATGGTCGGAGTTTCCCATATTGCAAAAACTTTTTGGCGGTTTTGCACATCGCCCTTGGGGCCAATTTCAAGTGCTGGGTTAACGTATGTCGTGTAAAAGGGAAGTATGGGAAGCCCGGTTTGTGGAACTCATGAGCCACTTGCCACTCCTGCATGCGGCCTTTCTCGCAGGCCGCTACAGCGCTGGTCTTGGGCGTGCTCGTGAGGGGCTGAGGAAAAGAACCCACGGCGGGGCCCCGGGGACTAGACTGCCCCTCTCTGGAAACGCGGAACAGCGCAAATCTCTGAAAGATTGTTGGCTTCCTGGTATGTCTTGCCTGAGCTCTGAAATATTACAAGTGCGGAACAAGGGAAACTTGGTGATTTACCATGGTTTGCTGGCACTATTCGAGGAGCCAAGCATAGATATGAGCGGTATGTGCTTGTCTCAAAATGGGGGCTTTGTTTGGACCCTGTTTCAAGGGTAATCAGAAGGAACCCACCCATGTGTATGGATCTCATATTTAAGGGTTGAGAATTCGGGCTTTTCGGCACATTGTTGATGAACTTCGTGTCTTCCAAACGGGGCATGGTCTTAGCGTGTACCCCATGGGTCCCCAAAATCCCTTTTCCGCGGCTTCAAGGAGCTGCTTGCCCCGTGAGTTTCCCTCGGTGGGCTCCTTCGCGGCTACGTCCCACTTAGGAGCCAACCCCCATGGCTTTTCTTTTCTTCCCCGAACGGAGCCAACGGCTGGGGAGCGAGCGAAACATTGTGATTGCGCTTCCTTTCTAAGGGACCGGACCAACTCTTTTTTTGCTGGCTAGACCCCCCTCCCCGGTCCAATTTTGCCCACCAAAAGAAAAGCCAGCATTTCTTTTGTTTGGGCGGCCGGGGGGGGGTCCCCTACAGAAAGACACACTTGTTTTATCTTCGTAGGGTCCATCCCTCCATCCCTTTGGCGCATTAGGTGTGGGCGCTGGTGGGCACTGGCGTGGACATGTCCACCGAAGCCTTCGACGTCGCCATCAAGCGCTGGGGAGGGGGGGGCCTTGGACTTTGGTTTTGGGGTTGAGGGTTTGAGGCTTTGACGTGTTTGGTCTAGGGTTAAGAAAGGGCAATGCAGGCTGGCCCTCAAAACTACATTTTTTTCCCGTGGTTCCCAATGTATCTCTTTGGAAAGACGTCCACAAACTTGTACTTTTTGGATCCCCACGATTTTTTGAAAATACAATTTGGCGACACCCTTACATGGGTATGTGATGGCATGTGTCAAAATAGGGGTACGCGCAAAATGAATGGTCCTTGTCGACCCCAAAAAGGACGCAGCGCCTCAAACAAGCACACACCTACATCACGACATCACAACTTGTTTCGGAATACGTGGGGCCATTTACACCCCGTTAAGCCCAGACCAGTCAAGGGCCTTGACAGCGGCTATTGCTTCCGTCTTCGATGGTGTCCACTCCACTACCCCCAAACCACCACTCCAAGGGAAAATTGGGGTATAATGTCACTATGTACACAGAAACCATCTTTGCATGTGGCTACCTCAAGACACTGCAAAGTTCAACGCGTTTTGACATACCCATGTGCCATTCGTAAAACACCGCAAAAGTGCGACTCGTTTTGGCACATATGGCAGGCAGTGAACACAGATTCCTTCCCTGTATCTGGGCTAGAGGACCCCGAAACAGTTACCTTGGCTCAAAGGGGGTTACCTAGACCTGTTGACCCCTCTGAACATTGCCTCGTGTACAAGGGTCTCAGGGGCATTCGCAGGGACCGTGACGAGGGTTCTTCGAATTCTTCAAATGCTATGGCTTCTCTTGAAAACAACCTAAACAGGGTGCTTTCGAACAGTATGCACACATACGTTCCCAGGAGGGGGGAAGCGAGTCATTCCCAGACGCAAGGATCTGCTTGGCAGCCCAAAGCCCAGCCTAAAGCCTGACAGTCTCGCCAGCTTCCGCAAGGTTGGGATAGGTTCTGTGCCAAAATACGTCAACACAGGGGAAGCTGGGCAACTCTCCCGCCCCCCGCAAAAAGCAGAAGAAAAGGAGAACAACTCCTGAAAAGGATACCAAAAACCACACAAAGCCACGGAAGCCATGCGAGTGTGCAGGGAGACACTGGAGGATGTCTCCGAGGCCATCGGGAACGGATCTCGCATCTCCAAATTCGGGGAAACTGAGGAGACAAAGCAGTAGGTTGCACCGGTCGGACCGCTGCATGCACCTTCCAAGCACGGGCTGGGGCTTTGCCATGATCCGCTAAACCAAAGCTCGACATTAACCCATGGGTGTCAAACATAGGCGCGCGTTGGAGGAGTTGTGTGGTGGTGCTTTTAGAGGGTACCTGTTGGTTTGAAAGGAAGCCAAAGGGAAATTCCGATTTGGAGGCTTCCCTGAACAGACAACCCTCTATGATGCTGATCACGTGTTGTACCTTATTGCAAGACTGATTCAGAGCAGCCACTAAAATGGACATGCTTCGGTTTTCCTTTCACGTTTTCAAAGATGCCAAGCCTCGAAACAAAGAGATACGCGCATGAAGAGGACTTGGTGGCGTTTTGGAGTGACCTTGAAGGAGATCATATTTTTTGTTTTCACACCAACTCCGCCGTCAAGTCACAAGTTGGATTTGGAAGGGGATTTGAGCTCCGGTTGTTAAATTTGGATGGCGCATGCGGTCTTGGGACAATTGCTGGAATCCTCTCCTTGCAACGATGAATGGTTCCCATTCCCGGCATTGATCGGTGGGGTTGTTCAGCCAGATTTTTCCTTAAGAGCAAGCAAAGCCAAAACAGGGGCCCTTGACCAGGCTGGCAGGCGATACTCCCTGTTCCACTTTGTCCCACATCAACTTCCGCGCCTTTAGGCAAAAGTTTGGAGTCCTCTTTGGAGCCCTTCCTGTTTGCAACGTTCTGACATTAACATGGACGCCTCAAGGGGCCGATTCCAAAACAATCAGCATTCTTTGATGGGCGCTTCTGGGATTCCTTTTGATCTGATTCCTTCTATAGGACTTGCACCCCTACGGCTTTTTGCTTCCTTTTTGTTTCCCTTTGTAAACGTCACCCAAAGGGCTTACACTCCTTGGAGCGGTCAGTTCACAGCTTGCTCCAGTTTCCTGCCTCCTTGAAACGACTCGCCACCCCTCTAACCAGAAGGGACGCTTGAGTTTACACTTGTCAAGTGGAGCAAGGAGCCCACACCGACCGACCCATTGACAACCATTGAAAGCTGCATCCAACAGCGTAAGCCCGCTGATTCCTGCGTGTTGATCTCCCTTAAGCAACCCAAAATGGTGGGTGCGGCAAGTTTTCGGGCCCGCCCAAATTTCGCTTCCTGGGTCCCTGCACTTTATGCTTTTTGGGACGACCATTTGAACGCTTGGACTGTTTGGACTTAGGACCTTTTGGACTTTTTTGGCCAGCTCACTGAGCAAGCGAGAGGAAAACGTGGCTTCGACAGAGTGTTATTTTCTAATGGCCCCTAGCAATGCAGAGGGGTGATTGAACTTCGATCAAGTCTCAGCATATTCCATGGTTCACCGGGCAGGTGGTCTTCTTTCTCCTCGGTGCCCTGACCATCGTGGAGATCATGGACGCGCACAAAGGCCGGGGTACACATCGCGTGTGGCGAGCGAAGCGGCCGGAAATGGATGGGTTTTGCACCAACAACATGTCCAGTTTTGGAATGGAGCTTGAACATGGCTTCTTGCTCGCCGTTTTGACAGTTGCCTTGTGGGGTGATGTTGAAAGGGGCCATGCAAAGAAGCCTGGTCTCGGTCCCGAAGGTGACATTTCGCTCTGGCGGTAGAAGGGAGGCCAAAAACGGGCGAAGGACACCATCCTTGAACACATCTTGACCAACCACCGCGGTCCATAATACTGACATTCCCGTGTCCATGAGAAGGCAGGGGCAAATCGTTATTTGGCTCGTCACGGGGATCAGTTCACGATATGGCCTGTCCGTGGGTATCAGTATATGCATATGTGTATGCATCCATATATATATATATACATACTAAGCAATATATATATATATTTATATGTATGTATATATATATATATACACATATTACTTGTTTCATCATTTTTTGGTGGAACCAAAGGGAAGCCGCCCCCCTTTGAATGCCCCCTTGGAGTGCCCCCCGTTCGAGTCATGGCCTCGGCGAGCGATCGGAGCCAGCCAGGCTTCGACATCATCACCAAGTCCATCAAGGCGACGAAGCAGCGCGAACTGCTGGCAGCGGCCTCTGGCTATCCAAATCCTTGGACCCTCTGCAAAAGGCGCTTGGAATGGAAGGGCGGGCGGAAGCAAATCGGCTCCAACAGGCGACCTTTTGGAACTTTTGGATGCGAAGGCGATCTTTGAAGTCAGACAGTTGGAACATTTGTTTCTCAAGGATTCAGAGGAGACAGAATTGGTTCCCAAGGGAACTGACCAAGCAACAACATGATTGATGTGACTAACGTCAAGGATCCCCCAAGACTGATAGATGCTCTTTTGGTTTGTCTGCAACACGATCCAAAACTCCATCCAATTTCAGGACAAGCTCCAGCTGTGTTTCATGGGATCCAAATCTTTCCCCGCCCCTCATTTCCGTGTTCCTAGTGTCCTTCTAGTACGGCCATTCTTGGGAAACAGGGGGCGAGGGCGAGGGGACTGGGGGGACGTTTGGATCCTATGAACGTCTTGTGGCTGAGATCACCATTGGCGTGTTGACCTTTGTGCTGTCCTCCGTCCTGAACAACCTGACGGTGGTCATTGTCATGGTACGCCTGCCAATGGTTTGGACCCGCTGGCTACAGCCTTGTTTGGTTTGTTTGTTTGTTTGTGTGTTTGTTTGTTTTGTGTTTGCTTGTTTGTATGTGTATGTATCTATGTATGTATGTATGTAATGTATGTATGTATGTATGTAATGTAATGTAATGTAATGTAATGTAATGTAATGTAATGTAATGTAATGTAATGTAATGTTATGTAATGTTATGTAATGTAATGTTATGTTATGTTATGTAATGCAATGTAATGTAATGTATGTATGTATGTATGTATGTAATGTATGTATGTATGTATGTATGTATGTATGTATGTATGTATGTATGTATGTAATGTATGTATGTATGTATGTATGTATGTATGTATGTATGTATGTATGTATGTATGTATGTATGTATGTATGTATGTATGTATGTATGTATGTATGTATGTATGTATGTATGTATGTATGTATGTATGTATGTATGTATGTATGTATGTATGTATGTAATGTAATGTAATGTAATGTAATGTAATGTAATGTAATGTAATGTAATGTAATGTAATGTAATGTATGTATGTATGTATGTATGTATGTATGTATGTATGTATGTAATGTATGTATGTATGTATGTATGTATGTATGTATGTAATGTATGTAATGTATGTATGTATGTATGTATGTATGTATGTATGTATGTATGTATGTATGTATGTATGTATGTATGTATGTATGTATGTATGTATGTATGTATGTATGTATGTATGTATGTATGTATGTATGTATGTATGTATGTATGTATGTATGTATGTATGTATGTATGTATGTATGTATGTATGTATGTATGTATGTATGTATGTATGTATGTATGTATGTATGTATGTATGTATGTATGTATGTATGTATGTATGTATGTATGTATGTATGTATGTATGTATGTATGTACGTATGTATGTATGTATGTATGTATGTATGTATGTATGTATGTATGTATGTATGTAATGTATGTATGTATGTATGTATGTATGTATGTATGTATGTATGTATGTATGTATGTATGTATGTATGTATGTATGTATGTATGTATGTATGTATGTATGTATGTATGTAATGTAATGTATGTATGTATGTATGTATGTATGTATGTATGTATGTATGTATGTATGTATGTATGTATGTATGTATGTATGTATGTATGTATGTATGTATGTATGTATGTATGTATGTATGTATGTATATGTATGTATGTATGTATGTATGTATGTATGTATGTATGTATGTATGTATGTATGTATGTATGTATGTATGTATGTATGTATGTATGTATGTATGTAATGTAATGTAATGTAATGTAATGTAATGTAATGTAATGTAATGTAATGTATGTATGTAATGTAATGTAATGTAATGTAATGTAATGTAATGTATGTATGTATGTATGTATGTATGTATGTATGTATGTATGTAATGTAATGTAATGTAATGTATGTATGTATGTATGTATGTATGTATGTATGTATGTATGTATGTATGTATGTATGTATGTATGTATGTATGTATGTATGTATGTATGTATGTATGTATGTATGTATGTATGTATGTATGTATGTATGTATGTATGTATGTATGTATGTATGTATGTATGTATGTATGTATGTATGTATGTATGTATGTATGTATGTATGTATGTATGTATGTATGTATGTATGTATGTATGTATGTATGTATGTATGTATGTATGTATGTATGTATGTATGTATGTATGTATGTATGTGTATGTATGTATGTATGTATGTATGTATGTATGTATGTATGTATGTATGTATGTATGTATGTATGTATGTATGTATGTATGTATGTATGTATGTATGTATGTATGTATGTATGTATGTATGTATGTATGTATGTATGTATGTATGTATGTATGTATGTATGTATGTATGTATGTATGTATGTATGTATGTATGTATGTATGTATGTATGTATGTATGTATGTATGTATGTATGTATGTATGTATGTATGTATGTATGTATGTATGTATGTATGTATGTATGTATGTATGTATGTATGTATGTATGTATGTATGTATGTATGTATGTATGTATGTATGTATGTATGTATGTATGTATGTATGTATGTATGTATGTAATGTATGTATGTATGTATGTATGTATGTATGTATGTATGTATGTATGTATGTATGTATGTATGTATGTATGTATGTATGTATGTATGTATGTATGTATGTATGTATGTATGTATGTATGTATGTATGTATGTATGTATGTATGTATGTATGTATGTATGTATGTATGTATGTATGTATGTATGTATGTATGTATGTATGTATGTATGTATGTATGTATGTATGTATGTATGTATGTATGTATGTATGTATGTATGTATGTATGTATGTATGTATGTATGTATGTATGTATGTATGTATGTATGTATGTATGTATGTATGTATGTATGTATGTAATGTATGTGTGTATGTAATGTCATGTATTGTCACGTCATGTAATGTACTGTAATGAAATGTAATGTAATGCAATGTATGCATGTATGTCTCCTTGCACTTCCCGTTTGCTCCCCAGTATTTTCCGCAAAAAGCACGGTTTTCCTGCGTTTTCGCAAAGAGGACGACCAAACACATTGAGTTTTTCCAGATTTTCGGCAAAAGGATGCAAGAAGCCCAAGCCAGCCAAAAAGCCGGCAGGGGGAATCGAGCCTGGGACCCCTGTTTTGCGACACCGGCTCCCCGAAGACTACGTTTAGTGGAACGTCATCAAATTGCCGCGCGGTATGTGGGGACCCCCCCCCCCAAAAACCTACGGAATAGACGTCGGGCGGGGGGGGTTAAGGGGGGGGGTTATCCTCTATCCTCTAGTAAGTATCCGACACGCCGGACAATGTCGGCGGATATAATCCAAGTGGTAAATATAATCTATGACGAGCACAACTCAATTTGCTTTTGATAATATCAAGTGAATAGAGACTACATCTCAAATATAATGCATATGAAATATGGCTAAACATTTGGAAATTCAAAATAAGGTTTGTGTTATTTACATTCTGGTCCTTTTGTAGCATAAGAAAGGTCCGACATTGAACTTGTTAGACGGTGTTCCAAAGGGAAATTTCAAGGGAAGAGAGGTTCAAAATCTAAAACTATCTCGAAACAGGGATTCTAGCTAAACCGTTGTATTTAAAGTTCTATTTGCGCAGGAAAGTTAATTCTATCTCAAAAGGTGGAGGTAGTAGATGAGCAAATGTGGACAGGTAG